CTGATTTAATGAGTTTAATTCATCAAGAACCAACACGAACATTACATCAATTTCTTCATGATTCAACAAAATTTCAAGAAACAACCGATCGTGTTCATGCATTAATGCATACACAATTAAAAGCAAAAAATCGACTGTCAATACCAATACCAACAACAAATACTAAAACACATCAAGAAGCTTGAACACTTTTTTTTCTGATTAAAGACTTAAAAATAGATATAAATAAAACATTTTGTTTTATATATAGATATATATATATCAGAGAATTATGTCAAATGAACTTCGTTCAGTTAATAGGGTTCATATTAAAGATGGAATTGGTACCGGCTGTTACTGATATATTCGATTAATTTCTTTTTTGCTCTTACTATCTGAAAGAGAATGTGTGATGAAAGTTTGTTGCAAGTTAACTATGTCAAATATCGCTATCCATAAATGGAATAATACGACAACTCTTCAGTTCAGTGTCGCTATAAATTCTATATAGAAAGGTCTATCGACGACCGATAGTGAAAAATTCAGACTGGTTTCATCGTTGGCTCATATAGATTAATGATTAAGTTGAGAATGATGTCGTGAAAGGGCTCAATTCAGATTGGGATCTTTCTCTATTGGTAAAAATTCGTCAGATAAAGAGCATTCCGAACTCATCTCCTCACTTTCATCTCTAACTGAATTTTTAGGAGATATTTATAAGATATTTCCTGATAAAGCCGATGATTGAACATTAACTACAATGATATAGTTAAAGAAAAATGCGAAGTTGGTGTAATGGGAATTTATCTCATGAAATATTTCGTGCCGAGGTTGATTGAATTAGTTCACGAGATGATCATAAGCAATAGGAAAACAGTGAATGTTTTGAAATACTTTAAATGATAATTATGTAAACTATCGCTCGCTATGCAACTTGGTATATCAATAGACGAAAAAACTGAGGCACCGTCAGTACCGAGCTAAATACCGATAACGACAATGCTATGGTTGAAGCCCCTAAAATCAGCATCTTCTTTGAAGTTTTATCATAAGAATTCGAGATCATAGGCCTTCTCTACAAAATTACGACCGATTTGCTGGACTCTACTAAAATTCACACATATTTTTCGAAGGAAAATAGTGATTGTAAGTTTTAAATTGAGGTTTTCCTGCTTTTCCCTGCGCTTCACTTCCATAGCAACATGGAATGAAAAAGAAATATAATTAATGCATTTCATAGATTAGAACGCTAGCAGAATAGTATTTGATTGTAATGATATTTGAAGCTTCCTATGATTCTGTATGTTGTATATAACTACTAGAAATGACCAACATATGTTGTCGTTTTTCTTACATCAATTGATTTACTACTTGTACTGATACAATCAATGTTTCATGTCAGCTATCAAAAACCTGTCAATCATTTGTATAAATATTAATTTATAACATGTTGCAGACGGACATTAACGAACTCTACTTGAGAATTATTTAAAATTGAAGATATGTAATATTCTGGGGGATACAAAAAAAAACACATAGTTTATCTCAAGATTAGAACGTCAAATTGGAACTTTGTGTGAAGAGCGAGTCTCTACGTATTTTTCACATTATAAAAAAGCAACATATTGAATGTCAGATAAGAAATAATTATTTTATAATTGATTAGAAAATTCTCTTCCAATATTTCATATAAACATGTTTTGTAATTTTTGCATTGATCTATAAAATTAACTTTATATTCTGCGATCAAACGACTCTTTCACTCTGTCGAATGATCAAAAATAAATAGTTACCATGACATTTTTCAAACATGTTTGTCGTCCTCTCCTATTAGTTTTAGTGCAAATAATAATTTAAAATTTGAAATAAATTATCGAAGATTTCAAGAATAAGACAAATGAACTTCAACTATGTAAATATCAACTAATCATTTTATAAATCAATGTCGATGATTCATGTAGAAAATGTATTTTAAACAAAATCATCGAATGTCACAAAATGGAGAGAAATTAAAAAAAACGAGTTCAACATTCAATTTATCGTTAGTAATGATGCAATTGATTAAAATTAACTATGTTAAAACAAATATGTTTGATCATTTTTGAAACCATTTTTCTATATAAAAACATTTCTTTATTGAAGAATGAATTTTCAAGACTTATATATATATATATATATGTATATCGAAAACAAGACGAAAAAGTACAATTCATTTCACTTTAAATAGATCTAAGAAAACAGACAAAAAAAAATGGAACAATATATAAACATTTAATCATCACAGTTAAACTGTGCCCCATTGCACATATTAATACAAATCTTAATTTACACTGTATAACAATCATGATTATTTTTTCGATGTGATTTTTTTGAATCTGTTGTACAACAAAATAATGTACTAAACCATGAACATGAATGAAGTTTATCAGATAAAATACGTCGTCCATTACTTAAACTATGACGATATCGTTCTTCATAAGAATTATGAATTTCTATTGCTTGTTCAAATACATTTCTTACATTAAAATTAAGCATTGATGAACATTCTGAATAGACTTTAGCTGAACAAACATGTGCTAAATATTCTCCTTGAGATTGACTTATTGGTCGTTGATTTTTTTCTGCTAATTGATCGACTGTTGATGGATCATTACGTAAATCAAGTTTTGTTCCAACAAGAATTATCGGTACACGAGGTGCATAACCTAAACGAAAAAAAAAAATTTCATTAATAACATTTCGAAACAAAATAATTAAACAATCAATAATTACGATTAAGTTCAGGAATCCATTTACTCAATATATTAGAATAACTATCTGGATCAACAACTGAAAAACAAAGAATAAAAACATCAGTATTTGGATATGCCATTATACGAAGTTGATCATATTCTTCCTAAGAATAAATATTTTTAATAGAGAATACAAAGATTTTGTTTTTTTCTTGTTTACTTGTCCAGCACTGTCAAATAGATTGAGAATATATTTACGATTGTTTAACGTCACTGTTGCTAGAATATTTAAATAATTGAAAAATATATGAAAATTTTCTCTTATTTATTATTGACCTGCATAATTCTCAAATATAGTTGGTACATAAGGATCTTGTGGATATTCTCCATCTTTATAAACAATACATAATGTTGTCTAAAAGAAATCTTCTTCGTGTTCATATTAATTGATTAATATCTTGCCTTACTTTGCCTGTATAACCATCACCTATAAGAATATAATCTAAGATTGATGACAAATTATACTATGTTTTATGCATAACTTACCAACAACAACAACTTTAATTTCTTCGATCATCGATGCAGCTGTCGCTGATCTATACTTATTCGAGTTTGATTTTGGCATGTACTTTAGTAGAAAAAAATAGAATAAATGAATAATCGTTCATACATCTGACAATATTCTCATGACTCTTTGTACTACAGAACAAACTAATCGATCATTCATATAATACAGCAGAAAAAAAGGAGAGAAAAATTTGTATGGTCATTCAATATTTGATAATAATTCTTCTTTTCTTTTAAGTATGCTTACCTGTAAATTTACTGTTAATAAACATTGAAAAGAAATTCGATTGCCGTTTTGTGATATATTCAAACAAATATGAGAAGGTTTGAACAAAAAAAAAACCAAAGAAAATGAACAGTTTTTTCTTTTTTGTTACTTTACTGATGACCTGAGGAGGAGGAGACAAGATGAATGAATATAAAACGATTCATTCAAATAAATGTGATCGTTTTTTATTTTTGTATATATATATATATGTATATATGGTCAGCCAGCGAATCGGAATGAAAAATTAATAGAGGTCGTTTTTGATATTGACCTTTTGAAAGTGAAAGATAATGTTTGGATTAAATAAATGTACTTTCTAGGACAATGATTCTTGAAATTATTAATATAATAATCTAATCTAAGATTGATTGAAAGATGATACAGACATGAAAGATCTATGAACATTTGTTGTGCTTACCTCAATGTATATGCAAATGATGACAATGGATGTATGTTCAAGGTGAAAATCTTTGTTGATGTTGGCGCTCTACACACACGCACACACGCTCACTCACACAACGAAAAAGAAAAGACGAAAGGGATAGAAAAGTAAGAAGAACCATTTTTCTCCTTGTTCTTCTTCTTCATCGTCATCGTTATTGTACTATATGAGATGTTCTTTCTTTAGGCTTCTGTTCTTTTTCTTTTGCCCTTTCGTTTTTTAGCTGGGCTTTAATAATCTACATGTAGTATTTCTTTTTTTCTCCATTGTCTTTCGAAGTATACTATCATATCATTGATACTTATTCGTATTCTGTTTCTTCATCACAACAGATAGATGTGTTAATCGATAAAGATATGTAAAGATATAATTATCTCGTATGTGTTATGATGTCTAATAGAAGAATGATTGTTGTTTCGTGTACATGAAATATACGAACATGAAACACAGAATAAGAACAAAGAAATAAAAATCGATATTAAAATATATTCTCAATTCATTCAATATGAAATAATAATTCGGTTACATAATATCTATCATCGACATTCATTAAAAAAAAAGAAATTATGTCAATAGATGATTATGATAAAATATTATTGTAATGATTAAATAATGAAAGCAATTGAATTTTTTTTCTTATAAAAAAAAAAAAAGGTCAGATTGTTCTAATGTCTTTGTTGATCAAATATTCTCGATTAAATCAGCAAGTTAATTGAATTAAAAAAAAATACAATCTGACCCAACGATATAATGAAAGTCTCTTAAAAAACGAATTTATATTTATGTTCAAATAAAAAATATTTGAAGTACATCGAACAATCTAAAATCTCAAGTAATACAATCATAAATATTTAGAATACGAATAAAAATAATCTGTGTTAGATTGAAATTACTTTTTTGTTCTATTCAGTAAATCAAATTAAGACTTTAGTGTTTTTCTTTATTCACATTTCAAAACAACACACATACACACAAAAGAAGCTCACACTGTTATATCATAATAGTTTTAGTATTAATTAGATATATTATATCCAATTGCATTGATAATTTCAATGAAAAATGGTATTATACTACATATAGCAAAGACAGGCCAAAACGAAACACTACACCAACGTGTAAAAACCATCAAAGAAAGTGAAATGGCACCAGTTGAATGAAGTAATGTAGCTATCAATGATAAAACAACATAGACAATGATTAATAGAATATTGATATCATAGAATTACATACTTGCAAATGTAACTTTATTTCGAAGTAAACTTGGTCCAAGTGAAAATATAATTAGTTCAATAATAAGTAATACAATTGAAAAAGATAACGCAATAATAAATCTTATACATAAAATATTCAACAGAATGAAAGACTATAATTAAGATCTTACCGATCATCAGTCAGTTTGCGTTGTCCATCATTTGGAATACCACAAAAATCAACATATTGACTCTTAAGAAATTTTAAATTGACGATTTATTAAAAATGTAAAGCATGTATCTCTAAATCGAAACTCTAGGTTTTTTTTAGACAAAACAGCACTAAGATCACAAAAAATCTACTTAAAATATCTACACGAAACTAGTGAGCATCAATTTCATATCTAAACAACATATTACAAAACGACTATAGTGATTTGTATGTACACCGTAGACAAAATTTTTGCCTCTTAAATCTCAGTACTCGCCAGATTCCATGAGTTCTAAACTTCCAGAACACTCAGAAAGATGTGGATGTGAGTGTGTATCTGAGTTTCGGTTCTCTGTACACCTGCAGCCATACACGTATTTGTCATCTTTCATGTTATTTCTCGGTGTAAGACATCAGTGCTGTCATTTAAAATTTGTTTGTAAGCAAAGTGCTGACGATATCAATTTCATTTGTAGTGTTAAGTTTGGTTCAGTTGTTAAACTTGTTTGGGTTCCGAGACTTTCTTCAATTCTGTCGGTCATGTGAGTGAAGTTACACTTTTGAAAGTTCTATGAGTTCAAAATTCACGGAATCCGGGAATACGTCTCAAGATATGGGTGTGAGCTATGAGTGCGGATTTCGTCTTCATTGTCACAACTACACTTTTTTAGAAAGGTGGTCATATAATGTTATATTTAAAAAAAGTTAACTTCTTTACTTTTATTTTTTTCTGGTTAATATTTTCTGTCTATTTTTATTCTATTAGCATCCAATTCTTTCATCTTTTGTAGTTCTCAGACATTATAGAAGATTGAAGTATGAAAACTTGTGTTCCTATACTCCAACATAAGTATAGGTCACTGGAACTACTCGTATGTCAATTGCTTGAACAGATGCTGAGATATGATGAATGGTATCCATTTTTACTTTGAACTTCAGTACAACGTTGTAAGTCGATCGACCTATCATTATGTAGCTCTATGTTCCAGCTATCTATCGTATTAATTTCGTGAAGATTCGTTTAGTTCTTTAAGAATTCTGGTCATTTTACTATTGTCATCAATGTGCAAAAAATAAAAACAAATTATTGCCATCCAAGACCCATAACTCAGTGATAGTTGAATAAATTGATCAGAAACTTTTGGATAAACTTTCTGTATCTTGATATTGTTTTCTGGAAGTCTCAGAATCAAATATTATACAAGGAAGAAACTAAAAATAATTTCTTCGTCATTGAACTAGGCTAACACAATAGACACACTTACTCGTTCCTTGAATATCATAATGAGTATAGAAAGATGTGCCGACATGGCAGTAAAACGTGCAAATATTCCGTTTGCTGTAAGCATCTGCAAAACAAATATATCTACTAGAACTTGTTTTACGAATTTAATTGAGAAATAAAAATACGAGAAAGAACATTTTATTTTCATTATGAGAGCAAAAACATTGAAAAAAAGCAAATAAAAAAAAAACAAATAAAGAATATACGGCACAAGGACAAAGTAAAATGAAATAAAATACAAGACACTAGCCAAGGAAGAGGAAAACTAGAGATTCAGACTCTCTTGTATGTCGGCTGCCTAAATTGAAACAAATTTGTTTATTAGAACAAGTGAAAACAAGCAATTATTATTCAAATCAAAAGAAAAGAAATTAAAATTAATAATTAGCCAAAAATTGTCTGCTTTGAAAGAAATAAAAAAAGATGTAACTGTCCAAAAACCAAAAAAAAGGTCAAGTTCACGGTAAATTTTGATAATTACGATCATAACTAATTTGTTGTGATTGTTTTTTAGACAGAAAACCTAAATCAACAAAAAGTATGTCACCATTGGCAGCAATAATCATAATCTGTTTAGTCATTGCCATTGTTGCTGCTTCACTATCTAATTGAAATAATTCTGTTACAACATTATGACCATCTTGTTCAATTTCAAGTACACGTGACCAATGTTTTTGCCATTGACCATTAAAATATTTGCCTGATGTCATCGTATCTAATATATAACATTTTTCATTACTTATTGCTTGAACAGAACATGGCCAACGAAGACGTTGAGTTGCTAATAAATCAGCATCAATTATTTTTATTATATTACCAGAATTAGCATCACATATATGAAGTGAAAATGTATAAGCAATACCTAAAATAGAAACATTTCTTATTGTTAAATTATCGCAATCATTCACATTCCTGAGAAAATTAATTTTAGTAAAAAGTTCGGAAAAAAGAGCCCGCAAAAAACCCATGAAAGATATAAGTAGTACGAGTGATGTAAAGGCATAGCAGTACAAACAATGTTTTATCCATGGGATGCCCAGAGGTGGGCGGCGCTCTCCCCATAATAGAATTCGTCCCTCCCGAGTCCGAGGTTAATGTCGCGTGGAGTACAGTAGCAGGCTTCTCCGAAGATAGGAGCTGGTCTCCTCTCCTCTCCAACACCAGGGAGTAAAAATCCTGAATAAAACACTAGGTACGAACGGTATAATGGTCTAAGCTGTATAGCACTATACTACTGTGTCACCATACTAATATCACTATACCTCTAATACCACTATATCGCTAGCATCTGTAGATATTGATTTTGTCACAATATCAAATTTCTCATCATATGAAGGATTTAGATTTCTTTTTTTTTTTAATAAAATTTAATATTCTTCTTGAAACCATAGTATTAGAGAGTTTTCGATTGGTATGTTTTTTTATTTGAGAAGTTTTTCTGTTGCTTAAGATATTTACCCTGATTATAAAAAGGTTTACATGAATGTTCAACAATCATATATAATTTTTGTCCATAAACAGAAATTAATTTTGGTCGAGCTAAAATAATTAATTGAATATTTTAATAATTAAAATAAAAAAAAAAAGTCAATAATCACAAATACCTTCATCATATTGATCGGAATGATTATAAATTTTCCATTGTTTAATAAATTCAAGTTTATCATCAAATTTAAGTACACATGAATTTCGATAATCACATACATAAACATCTCCACGTATATTATCCGTATCAATACCTAATGGTAAAAATATACCTGATTGACCAGTTGAATCTGTTTCTAAAATAAAACAAGAATCTTAAATTAAACCTAAAATTTGAAACTTTTAATACCTTTAACACAATCTAATGTTTGTCCACTATCAATATCAATCATACTTATTGATTCATCATGTGATACGTAAGCAATATTTTGTGATTGATATTTTTTTGATATTGTTATACCACGTATGCTTGGTGCTAATAGAATTGTTTTAAGTGTATCACCATATTCATTAAGTATAAATAATTTATTACATATACCTAATAAAATTTTTTTATTATTTTCTGTCATAGCTATAGCTTCAGGTTCCAATGCTGATAAATGATCAATTTTAATATATTTATATGGTACAATATTTGTAGAAGTTTGTTCAATTTGAAATGATGCTGGAGCTGGTGGTAGTGGTGGTGGTAGTAGTGGTGGTAGTAGTGGTGGAGAATTAAAACGCCGATGAGATTCTATTTGATTATAAGTTACTTGTCCAATTGTATCAGCTGCTATAGCACGATGTCCTTCAGAAAATGTTAAAGCATCACGTGATTGTTTTTGTTGTTCAACAGTTCGACGAATAGTTCGTATATTAAATTCAATTTTTTCAAGATTATCCCATAATTGTTGTTTATTATTATTTGTATATGTAAAAGATTTTAAACGTTCTAATTCATTTCCAATTGTATTTGTATCAGTAGCTAAATCAGCATAAATTTTTTGTTGTTGATGATAATGTTCTGTTATATTATCATCAAGATTTGCAGCGATATTTTTAACTTCATTATGTATTGAAGATTCTTTACGATGAACTTGTTTACGTATATCATCATAATCATATTTTAAACGTTTTATTTGTTCATCAATTTCACGTTCTAAACGTTTTTGATCCGATAATAATAAATCAACACGTGATGATACAGCTATTGTTGTTGATGATGATGATGGTAGAGTTGGAACAAGATAATGTGTATCACGTTCCATAGATCTTGATGCTGGTCGATTTGTTGGAGTCGATAAACCACTACTAATTTGTGAACGAGCACGTGATGAATTATTTGTTTGAACAACAGGTGGAATATTGACAGCAGATTGAAAGCGTTCCGTTGATAATAATTTAGCCTACATTTAGATAAAATAAAATTGTTTTATTAAACTGTACTATTTATTTCAATATATAATGTAATGTATTGTTTGTTTTTTTTTTGAGTAACTTTTGATAGGAACATCGTAGAGACCTGTAATTTTTCTGCATTCAAGAGAGAAGACTCGAAGCCATCGAGCTCCAATTAATCAATAATTAAACAATCAGATGAGTTCTTGGTAGAAATTTTTCAAAACGATATTCTGAAAGTATTTTCTTATCGATTTAGATATTTCATAGGACTACTCCGTAAAAGAAATTCTTCTCTTTTAATCTACACAAAGTTGATATACTTAGCCTGTTCTTTTCGAGAGTTATAATACTTTTCCTGAGATCTCCAATTTCAGCCTATTGATCTGTAATCATCCAGAAAAGCAGCTAGGTAGAGGTAATTCACCATGTTGAGTTCAATGATGATATTTATTTCTAGGCTCAATATAATCTGTTTCTGTTATCTCAATATTTCCAGAATATCAACTCTTTCGTTATACGAAGGTTGATTGTGAAATTTCAGAAAAAATTGAGATAACACAATCGATCATTTCGAACGTAAAAACAAATATCTACATTTGACTAAACATGGTGAATTATCTCTACCTAACTTGCTTTCGGGTGATTAGAAGCCAATCAGCTGAAATCACAGATGTCAGAAAAAGTTTTTTAACTTTTGAATGGAACAAGTTAGGAATGTCGCTCTTGTGTAGATGGCAAGAACAAGATAACAACTGAATTTCGATATAGTTCGATAACCCGGAATTTTCTTTGTTGAATGACGAAAACCGCAGATCTCTATGATGTTCAACAAACAGTGGAACACATTATACTGTGAAATGACTAGTAGATTTTACTTATTAGGTTTGCTTTCACTCTTTAGAATTATTAAATTCTGTGAAGAGAAAGTTCAGAAATGCGATGTCCACCTCTCCTGCTTTCAGTGCTGAGTCACGTCTGTGAACAAGTTAAACAAAGAGATGATTTACTTGATTGATAGGTATTTGTTCATTGATATCTTCAGAAGCTAATGATCGAATTGATGTCACTGATGGAGATCGTGGTTTAAGAGCTTCATCACCAGCAAAATCAAATGTTTGAATAGTTTGTAGTGGAAATCGTTCTGGTGATCGTCCTAACGGTGAAGTTATTGAAGAACTACGATCAGACATTTTATCAGCTTGTTGTTGTTGTTGTTGTTTTTGTTGCGGAGTTGATGCAACACTTAATCGTTGTTGATAAGTATTTATTATTGGTGGAGCTGGAGACTGTCTTATTGTTGAACTAGTAGCATTACTTAGAACGCTATCAGCACGACTACTATGACGACTTGGTGGTCGTGGTTGGATACTAGCATAGACTGATGGTTGGATACTAGCATAGACTGGTGGTTGTATAGGAATTTGATTGTCACCATCATCATCATCATCATCAAAATCATTTTGTGAACGAGAAGCAGTTGAAGGACGACTATGCGATTGAGGAGATAGAATTTGTCCTTGTGGAAATGATGGAGGAGTTCCATCATGCGAATGTTGATTTATAGATGCAATTATATCACGAAGATTATCTACAGTTGAACTTCGATCAGATGTTGTTGCAGCTGATATTGGTCGTTCAATTGCTTGTGGTGGATAATGAAGATTTTCCGTTGCTTTTTGCCATTGATCAGGAAATGGAGGAGCTACTGGAACAGTTCTAAAATAAATTATTTAAAACAAAAAAGAAGAAACTATCATTTTGTTGGCATTCTAAATAAACATACATACCCATGTACAAGAGTGTCCCATGTCATATCTTCATAAGCTTCTTCACGTGCTTGTGATGGTCGTTTACTAATGGATGCTGATGATGTTCGTTGTTGTTGTTGTTGTTGTGATGAACGATGTGTTGCTTGTTCAAAAATTTTTATTAATTCATCATTTTTTCCTGTTGATGCAACACTTTCACTTCTTGGTTTTTCAAGTGGTTGTGTTGATGTAGCTTCAGAATAAATTTTTACTAAATTGGAGACAACTGGTTGTATATTAGATCTACTTGATGAACGAGATGATCGTGTACTAGTTTTTCCACTAGCTCCTGATGATTTACTAAATGCATTAACAAGTGAAGTAATTCCATATGATTTTGTTCCACCTGTTAATGAATCATGACCATTACTTTCTGCTATACTTGGTTTACGTTTATCTTGTTGATTGGACATTTGTGTTGGTGTTGAAATAATTGATTGATATGTAACGGGTTTTTTAGGTGTTGGAATTGATGTTACAGGTTGAACATTCATACGCCATTCTTGGCTTAAAATAAGATTACGTGGTAAATCGTTTAGATCGATTTCATCAACCTAGAAAAAAAAATTCTTTGCTTTGTTTCTTTTTTTTTTGTGGCTGCGTCGTTGTAATAAAAAATACAAGAAAGAAAGAAAATATATGTATATATTTGTGATTCTTTATTTTGAAAGTAATACCTGTTCGGTAGATGTATGTTGCAATAAAAAGAAAAAAAAGTAAAGAATCAAATGAAAACAAGTAACTTCAATTTTTTTTTCTTCTTTTACTAGTTGATGTTTGCTGATTCTTACTTACGAAAAGCTCGAGGACAATTATAAGTATCCTTATCTAGCACGTCTGAAAAAAGAAGGTCTTTTTTTTCTTCATAGTCATCACAAACGTTTTTTTTTTTTTCGGTAGAAAAAACATTAATATGCATAAAATAAAAATTAAAAAAGAACTCATTCATTCGAAAGATATCAATAAGACTTACTTGTTGTTGACATTTTGGACAAGTAACTCGATTATTATTCATTAATTTGTCTCGAATACAATTTAAACAATATGTATGAGTACATGGTAATACTCGTGGATCTTTGTATTCACCATTACATATTGGACAAGCATGTACAGTTTCTTTTTGTATAGGTGGTGGTGCTGCACTACGTACAGTAATGCCATGTCCACTACCATTACCAATACTATTTTTATTACTTGGAGGTTTTGATTGTCCAGTATTATTATTATAGCGCGGTGCTGAATAGTTACTTGCGACACGCGACATTTTGCCTTCTTATTCTTGTATTGATTTATCAATAGTAAATTATATTCATTCGTTTAATGTTTTAAATACTAACGACGGATAATTTTATTATTTGTTGCTCTCTATCAAACATATATATATACATCTAAAAGAAAGAGAAAGGAAGAAAATGTATATTGATCACTTCTGGACGACAACGAAAGAAAAAAAAATGTTTGACGTTTTGTTTCTTTCTCTTCAAAATAATGCATCGTCAATTCCTTTGACAATGCTTAGCATTTACTGCTAAATAAACGTATTCCAATCGTTTATGCTACTACTCTCTTTCTTTCGCAATATATATATATATTCATTTGACAAAAAATAACTGAGAAATGCATTGTCATCATTTATATGTTGCGACATGATTGTTAAGATCTCAAAATAGTATTAAAAATTTTCTGTCTTTTTTCTTTTCCTTCTGTGATTGTTAAAATTATAACAAGAGACTTTATGTTCTGCTGAATGTCAAATATTTTAATCGAAACCCTCCGGTAAACAGACAGAATAGTTAAAAAAGCGCAGACTAAAAAAAGATTTACTACCGTGTATTTCGAACCACTTAATATGAGTGTATGTATAAGTATATATGTGAATGCGTATAGAATGTCTGTTGTTCACCACCTTTAAGTGCTACCTATCCATCTACTACCTTCTTATTGGTAATTTTTCTTTTTTACTTTAACTAACGCCAACACAGCACTAGAAAACGAAGAACAACTACATTTTGACGTAAAAAAAAAAACAGAAATGTGAAGTGAATTTTTTTTCTCTAAAATATGAATAACTGAAAAATATGTAAACAAAAAAATAAAGGCGATAAATAAAAAACAAAAAGAAAAGAAAGAATAAATTTATATTAATAGTAAATGGAAAGATATCAAATGACCGAAGCACGCGTTCAATTAGATAATTAAATAGAAGAAAGACGAAAGATTCGATAGCCTACCTCAAGGATTAGTCTAGGCTTCATAATCGAACAATATATTTAAAAAAAAACGGAGTCATCCTAATTGCTCTTCACTCTCATTTCTCTACGTGTTTCAAACTGTTAGTTGTGGGATTAAGCCAACAAGGAGGAGACTAATTTCTTTACTCTTGGTCTTACTTCTTTTCTCGCCGTTACCTTCATGTTCAATATGACCCTTTTTTTTTTATTGTTCTCTCTTTTTTTCGAACCAATACGTGAATATGTATATACTTTTCTCGTCGCCCTACGAGAAGATATATATACATGAGCTTAAAAGCAACAAAAGCTCTGTTATATGCTCTCAAGCAAACAAAGGTGAAGAGAAGAGACAACATCACGTCGTTGTTAGACGATGTTTTACTCTTTAATAGTCATTGAAATATAACGAATAAGAGCACAGTGTATGTGTTAATACAACATTGAAAAACGAGTCTTCATCATACATATTATTTTTTTCAAACTAAGGTTTCATTTATAATATTTTATTGTAAACATGAAACGAAAGAAAAAAAAACAACAACATAATGTATGGAGAAAAAAAAATTACTTAACTATGCTACGTAGTAAATCAATATGACAACGAGATTATATACGAAAATGTGAAGATAATTTATACAATCTACTTGTCCATGAGGATTAACAATTAATGATTTCTATATACTAAAACAAGGTTATCATAGGGTAATAAAAACTTCTTTTTGAACTAAAGACAAAATGTTAAATATGCATATTGATGATGCTTCAATTTATCTTTCTATTGTTAAATTTACATGAAGGATATCATAAATAGAATAAAAAAAAGAAAGAAGGTCATAAATGAAAATTGTCTCATCTAGTGAAAAAAAAAAAGAAAAATTTCATTAATGTTTTTATAAGAACAGGTTGTAATTTGATATCGAATTCTAGTCAAGAAAAAATATTTTATAGCTAGACAGGAAGGTGTGAATTTCGTTATTGACATGCGATGACTGAAGAGAAATTTAAAGTGGAATAACAAATAAATATAAGATTGATGAAAATCAGATTTCTTTTAACATCATTGTAATATTCTCTATATTGATCGATATTTGCATTACACTTTGCTTCACTCAATCTATTCTGTCTTGCTTACTTGTTTATTAATAATTTCATAAGTTTTCCAATGATATCTGTTGTATATGAACAAAAAGATTGTTCAAGAAACCCTATTACTTAAAAACTAAACTTAAGACGTATATATAAAATGTATAGATGAAAGATGATAAAAAATTTTATTAGAAAAAAGAAAATATACAATAGATAAAGTTGTAGAATTTTTTTGTCTATTTTCGTAAAGAGTTAGTGTTTTTATTTTAAGTTGTAGTTTACTCTCACAATAAACAAAAGTCTAATGAGAATCTAAATATTCAGCGAGTACTCAATAATAATACAAATTAGCTGCTCTAATATATTTTTAAAAAATTACTCGTATGCGTTTTTCTTTTCGCAAAAAAAAAAGTTCGTCAGTCAAATGTTTCATATGAATTATTGAATGGTATATTTTCGTCTTTTAAGTCATCTATTTTGATATTTTTTTCTTTCAAAATGTAAATCTAAAAAAGTTTATAGAACAATAGTTCGAAGAAATATATTTAATCAACATCGTAACATTTCTAAGGTATCGATTCTCTAAACACAAAATAAAAGACAGAAAAGAACTATAGTTGAACTAATCAGAAAATAAATTTTGATTGGACAATTGTTCTTCTTTTTCAGAAACTAAAGTAAACCAAAAAAGCAAAAATATAAGTTCATACTGCTTCGCGCATGAGTCTCGATAAATATTTTCTCTATTATTGAACTCAATACAATTTACAAATAAACTCATTACTAGAAAAAGAAAAATCACAAACTAACAAAAGAAAATTCTTTTTATTAAAGTTTATTATAAACGTTGACGAACAATTTTATAAATAGCTGCCGTATATTCAATGATTAATGGTACACAACTACATATAGCAAATATTGGCCAAATACGTAAAGCACATTGATGTTGTAGAAGAAAAAATACGAGACCAATAGCAGCAGATAAATGAACTATTATTGCTTTAAATAAAACGAAACAAGTTATTTGCACTACTGATCGAAAATATGCTCCACTCCAGCCTACAGATCTTAACCCCTAATACGAGAGATGAACATCTGAAAATTCGCTTTCCAATAGTTCATAGATAATGTGCTAGATTAGATTAAACCATGGCAATGTCTACCACAGTCTTGAGAACATGGTATTTTTATAATCCTATACACACTCCATGCTTATGTGCCATAATTCATTATAAAATTCCTGTCGAAAATTTTCTGTAAATCTATTGTCGGCGCCAGAATTAAATAGGGGTGGGTGTAAGCTCAATAACTCGACAACCGCAATAGCTAGCGATCTGCGGTTTTCGTCAATCGAAAGAGGAGGAGTTGGGACGTCTTTTTCTCTGATAATGTATAAGACGAAATCCTTTTAAAACTAATCATATTTGAAAAACATGCAAAAGAACCCATGAAAGTGATCTGCCGACTAGATGAAANTAGAGTTAGCTTTTCAGGCGCGGTTTGCGTTAAAATTGTAGGCAACATCTATATCATATCCACAGAAAATATGACCTCTAAATATTGAGTTATAGTGAAACTGACCATAATAACAATGTGGAGTAGTTAGATTGTGGCGGACAAAATTTATTGAACGATATTTCAAATTGAGTTACTTTTTTTCCACAAATGTTTGAAAAGGGCTGAATCTATATCGATGGAAAGAGGTGAAGGCGAGCTGCATTTTGACTACAAGTAACTTTTAAAATCAACTTTTATATGCAATAATCATGGTCATTTTGTGAGAAATTTGATATATGGGTATATGAACCCTACAGAAAATCGGAAAGTCATACTTTGAGCTATGGAAAATCTGAGTATACCATTTCATAGAGCTCGTCGAGTTGTACTTAAAACAGATTCCTGGACGAATATGGAAAACTCTTACTCAAATATGGCGCTAGCTTCACTTACGTAAATCTTTAGACACCGCAATATTTGACGACATTTGTCTAAAAGGCGCCGAAAAATATATAAAAGTTGTTTACTTGTAAGTGTAAAATGTCTTCAGAATTATAGAGCATCTGACGCTCTTTCGAATGACATATTCAAAAAATAATTTAGTCTCTATAGGAAAAAGATAAAGAGTTCACATACCAGTATGTCAAATTTATCACAAAATGACTATGATTATTGCATATAGAAGTTGATTTTAAAAGTTACTTGTAGTCAAAACGTAGCTCGTCTTCACCTTTTCCCATCGATATAGATTCAGCCCTTTTCAGACATCTGTGGAAAAAAGTAACTCAATTTGAAATATCGCTCAATAAATTTTGTCCGCCACAATCTAGCTATTCCACATTGCTATTATGGTCAGTTTCACTATAACTCAGCATTTAGAGGTCATATTTTTTATGGATATGATATAGATGTTGCCTACAATTTTAACGCAAATTGTGCCTGAAAAGATAACTCTATGAAAAAGTTATACATAGAACAAAATCGTCCAAAAAAATTTGTCCAGTATAGTAAGGTGCGCGCAATGCAAAATTCGAGCAGAAAACAAATCTAGATGAACTATACATCAGTCGATAGAGGTTTTCGCGCTGGTTCAGAATATGTGTTTTTCAAGTTTATAGACCTTACGTGAGCCCAGAAAAATGCAAAATACAAAGATTTTCAGAAAACCCAAAGAAGATGCTTTTTCACTATATATTCCACGATTAATCTATCTTAACTTAGAGTTTTTTCAACGAAAGTATTTTATATAAATCGAGCACATAAAACTGTGGTATTCAAATGGGTTTGACGAAATTTCATCAATCCTGTGACATTTGGCTGGATTTCCAAGACCCACCTTGGACTTTATCGAGGACCTTACCTTGTAAAAATCTATCTCCTTTTTTTCTGTAAGAGCTAAAACAATTTTTTTTTCACCATTCGAACCGTTAGATAAATGAGAAAAAAGTTACATATGCTCAAGTTCCGGGTCCGTAGTGTTGCTGAGAAAATGCAGGTTTTCTGAAGACCTAGTATTTGAAAATGGACTTAATTTTGTATTTCAGTTAAAAACCGATCAAATTCGGAGTTAAGGAGACTTTTCTAGGTAAAAATGAATGTAGAATTCAATGCACACTATGCCACATATGAGTTGGATCTCTGGAGAGTCTCCAGAAAACCATTGACCAAAAACCGGTTTTTCAGATGCATTCCCGCAAACTCTTGTATCAGTGCGCAGATGTCATGTGATAGCTACCACATTTCAATAAAAATTTATTCTTGTGTCTCTTAAGTCGACAGAAAAGCAAGCAATCTACGACATTTGTAGTTACTCAGTAATCTGTCTGTGGTTCGCAAACAGGTACCAGTGTTAAGCTAACAAAAAAATTTCTAATTACTCTTTCCTGAATACGTGAATTTTACAGTCTGGGGTGTTATTGACATGCCGAAACGGGCAAGAAGTCTCAAACGAGCACAGTCTCAAGCTGCTATAGCAGCCCGTTGGAGTGAAAAACGGGTTTGTCATGCAAAAGAGGAGTTTTCTCATGGTGATTTTGGTGGTGAAATAAATCCAAAGATGTTTGAAAACATCGGTAAAACTTTTAGCAATGAAAATGATTTCCTTGGGAAACTGGATTTACCCATGATTGGAGATCTATTTGACATCTGCAAAAACGAATGGGGATCAAGAAAGCTTACTACATTGTTATATATGATTCTTCGTTATTTGGGCCATCAGTGGCGAATTATTGATGATATTTTTCGACGGATTGGTGCGAATCGATGTGAAACAGCACATAAATGGGCGGAAACATTTTTATCTGGAGATTTCGAGGTATTCATGAACGATGGTCGTGGCGGAAAAAATACTGATTCTTTCTACGACATTTTTCCTGAATTAGAAATTGAAGCGAAATGCTTTGTTGCTGATGCATGTGCTCGAAAATCGGCTGATTTTACTGTATCAAATTTGGCAAAGTTTATTGATGAAAAATATTACGATATTAGTCAAACGACGAAAGTTAATGATGCATTGATACGTTCAGAAACGAGCTGTAGACTCGACCTAAGAAGATGGGGTGCAAAATTTGACAGAAACAATCAACGGCCTTATTTTGAAGGCCATGAAAGACCAGATGTTGTTGATCATAGAGAACAATTTATTTCGTATTTCCTTGAACGAAAAGATAACTACTATACAATCGACGATAGTGACATGGCTACATGGCAAACACCGACTCAGAAACCATGCATTCTGATCTTTCATGACGAATCAACATTTCAGAGTGGCGATGTGTCATATAAACGGTGTCTTATAGATGAGGAGACTTCATTTTTCTGTAAGGGAAAGGGTCGAAGTCATATGATTTCAGATTTTCTCATCTGTCATCCATCTGGACCATTTTTTTCTCTATCTGAATCTGAATTCCAAGAGGCATCTAAAGTATATCCGAATTTGTTAACGGATACTGGCATTAAATACATTGGATATTCTGCAACTGCTGGTATCAATCTTGGATATGACGTGTACTTCGACAACGAAACTATACTAAATCAATTCGAACGACTGTTTCAGTTGTTGCCTTTCAAGGCAGAATATAAAGAACACGACTTCGAGATTATTGTTGATAATGCTCGGACACACTCTGCGAAAGAGTTCAGTTTGAATGATTTTAGTAAAGGAATTGGGACTAGATGTAGAGGAGATTCAATAGAATTTATTGATGATGATGGCAAAAACCAACGGCTACCTTGTTTTTTCTCTAGTGGTGAAAATAAAGGAAAGTCAAAAGGATTATTGGTATTAGCGAAAGAGCTAAAACTTGATGTAGATAATAATATAAAACTTGATGATCTTCAACGACTTTTGTCTAATCATTCAGCATTTAAAATCATAAGTCGACTTCAAAAACTTGCTGCAAAACATCAAATGAAAATAATTTTTAATCCTAAGTATCATTGTGAATTAAATTCTATCGAAGGGTTGTGGTGCTCAATGAAACGTTATATTCGACAAAAAAGCGATCAAACTTTTCCAACGATGCTTCAACTTATTCCTGAATCTAAAGAATATTTTCTTGAGAAAAATCTTCAAAAAAAGCTTTTTCGACGATTTTGGCGTACTCTTAATGCTTATAGTAAAGGTAAAACATATAGTGAAGTATTACAACTTTTCTTCAGTGGATCATGTAAATACGATATTGCATCGCACAGAAAAATAACTAATTCTAATCTCGATCATTAAATTGCTTCATTTTTTCGTATAAGATATTGTTTTTGATTTTTTTTATTAATAAAATTTGAAAATCTACATAGTCAACGTATTATCCCACTCGTTTCGGTATCCAAATCTTTATTTATCGACATACCTTAACTTTTGACGATGATCGGCTTTTTTTTCTTTCTACCTCTTTTCAATGAAAAACTCACCCTCAAGGATGGAATCAAAACTATAAAATAATCCGTTATGACCGGTTGTTTTATCTCCATCGACTTTTAATCATAATATAAAGCAATATAACCATAACTGTACTTATAAAAATTGTCAAAACCGGTTTTTGGTCAATGGTTTTCTGGAGATTCTCCAGAAATCCAACTCATATGTGGCATAGTGTGCATTGAATTCTACATTCATTTTTATCTAGAAAAGTCTCCTTAATTCCGAATTTGATCGGTTTTTAACTGAAAAACAAAATTAAGTCCATTTTCAAATACTAGGTTTTCAGAAAACCTGCATTTTATCAGCAACACTACGGACCCACAACTTGAGCATATGTAACTTTTTTCTCATTTATCTAACGGTTCGAATGGTGAAAAAAAAATTGTTTTAGCTCTTACAGAAAAAAAGGAGATAGATTTACAAGGTAAGGTCCTCGATAAAGTCCAAGGTGGGTCTTGGAAATCCAGCCAAATGTCACAGGATTGATGAAATCTCGTCAAACCCATTTGAATACCACAGTTTTATGTGCTCGATTTATATAAAATACTTTCGTTGAAAAAAGTCTAAGTTAAGATAGATTAATCGTGGAATATATAGTGAAAAAGCATCTTCTTTGGGTTTTCTGAAAATCTTTGTATTTTGCATTTTTCTGGGCTCACGTAAGGTCTATAAATTTGAAAAACACATATTCTGAACCAGCGCGAAAAACTCTATCGACTGATGTATAGTTCATCTAGATTTGTTTTCTGCTCGAATTTTGCATTGCGCGCACCTTACATATATTTTCCTGAGTTGAAATTCGCATCAATTCAGCTTTACACGGTTCGATAATTACTTGTGAATTCCGAAATTCATCATAAATGGTTCAAATATCTCAGTATGTTTCCTTCCTTTGAAAATCAATTTGAAAATTGAATCGGCTGTTTGCACAGAGTTCAGCGTATTTTGGAATTAGTAGTGTACGTGACCTTAATAATGATTGCCATTATTATACTTATCTTTTTTCTTCGAACAGGTAAACATCAATGTCCATTTTCAGCCATATTACTGTCAATAACTATATTCATGCTGATATTCATTCTATTTAATAAGGTCGAATGGCTGCTACATCAACAACAACATTTAGCACTACATTCAGCTCGATAGATACTTCAGCACCAAGCAGCGGTAATTGTAAAACTGGCAAAAAAAAAGAAATTCATTGACCATCATCGGTCCAGAGTTTCCTCATTCACATAACGGGTGATCGAGAAGTTTCTGAACAACATTGAAATTCATACTTCGCTTGTTCTATCCATGCTTTGTTTCTGAATTTTTTGCACAAAATACACACACCATGAACCTATTAAATTACAAGTAACGCTCATCAACAGTCGATTCGTTTCCTCCTAAACTGACGTAATAGTCTACAAATGGATATTCACCTTTCCCTGTCTGCAACATGTAGTACAAGTGCCCAGAACGATGGCACGATTGATCATATCCATGGTACAAATAACCAAATATGTGGTTATTTATATCATCGATGTGGTCCATTATACCATCGACAAGATCCTTTCATAGGTCCACGAAAAAATAAATTTATCCCGTTTTACTTTTATACTGTAGAAACTAGTAAGATTTTCATATTCGTTACACTTTAGTTCCTTTAGACCTTTTAGAATATAGGTGCGAGTGTGGGTGCGGGTACAAGTATCGTTGAAGTGAGGCTGCCAAAGGGTGCTAAGGGGACTAAAAGCACTAAAGGAACTGATAGAACTAAAGGGATAGCTTGAAGGGACTAAAAGTAAAACGGGATAAATTTAATTTTTCGTGGACCCCTCATTTTTTGTGTAAAAAAAATCAGAAAAAAGCATAAGTAGAACAAGAGGAATATAAATTTCAATTTTGTGCAGAAACTTTTCGATCATCCGTTAGATACAAACGTTTTTCACTATACTATTTGATTTAAAATAACAAACATCTATTTACAGCTGTTTTCACAAAAACTTGCACATCTTTTTCTACAGATATAATCTTCTATATATGTTCTCTTCGAATTGTTTTATAGTGTGATGAATAGTCCATGAAGAGTACTAGAGCACACCATAATTTGAAAAATCCCTTTTTTTGACCTTTAGAAGAAATAAAAATGAAACATCTTTTTTTTCTTGGAATTTGTAACAGAAATTTGAACATTTATGACTTCTTCATCTGAAAAATGTTAAAGTTCAACAATTTGCTTTTTCAATTTCTTCTCTCAACATTATATTTTATGACTGACCGACGTTTCATATTATTTCGTAGATTTGAGAACTTCTTATCTTCTGGTTTTGTTAAATTTCGTTGACTTTTGATCGCTGTGATTTTTCGAATGTGAATAGATTTTCAATCCCAACTTTAAAAGAAAATCATAAGACTTCTGTCTGTTTTGGTAATCAAAGGATCGCTAAAGAATAGTGAGCTCCAATCAATTGCCGTCTCATCAGCTGCCTTTCATCACAAGTTATCTTCATCGGTGTCTGAGATCACTTCCCCCAGTGTCGAATTTCTGATTACCCTACTAATTTAGTCTAGAAGCAAATGAATCGATATGCCGATGAGCATTACTTATTTTTCTGAGCTTTAAAATTTCAAATCAATATAAAATCTAAAATATCCTAAATTACATTGAGATGTTGTTCGTCAATACCGTGTCTCTCTCTTCTTTAGTTGATTGAAATACTGTCTATGTATTTTTATCAAGAGTAGTTATAAGTTTGAATGATAGACTTCTTGAATGTTACTTTGATTTGGTTACAATTAGATGATCTATAATAATAATCATATTATGTACATTTAGTGTTTAATATAAATCTGTTGATTAATGGTGATGCTGAGACTGGTCCATGTGGCACAACAGATGCTATCACACCTCCAACAAATTGGGATTATAGTGGAACAGTATTTCAAATATTCTATAATAGTATAGATGGCACGTTGACGCCGTCATCTTTAGGGCCTAACTAAAATCACTAGCAAATAAAGTAGTTCTCATTGAAGTCGTTCCTTTTCTAATAATCGTGGTCAATGTTATTTTGTTGGTCATAGATCTGCAACCAGTTTAATGTGGCAAACAGTGAATATCAATGAACAACTTGATTCTCTTGTTGTTGATAACGAAGAAGTAAAATTTAAACTATCAGCCTGGCAAGAACAACTGGATAACGCTCAAATATCTTTAACTTTTCTCACTAAAGACAATCAGCCAATCTGCAATAATTACAGGATAGGACTAGTAACAGCCAATGATCGAATGATGCAATCATTACTGATCTATAGAGATGTGAATGGAATAGTGCTTAATGGTGCATATTCTGCAACGATTAATGCCACATTCAATCGCTTTGGTGGCAGCTTCAATGATGGCTGTATCGATAACATTGTCTTTTTATTATATCAGTGAATAATGTACAAAATGTTGTCAAAAATCCTTGAATTTGCTTCGAACTGATGCTTTATTCATATAGAAATGCATGTTATAACATTTGTTAACCTTTACACAATACTAAATTTATTTCAATTAATCACAGCAGATTTACGTTGTAGTGATTTATAGTGTGCTTATCCTTAATAAAAAGACAAATAAATCAAACATTTTCACTGATCTCTTGTGCATTTATTTAATATTCAATATATATAGTTTTTGCCTATTCGGAATCCTTGAAGTGTGGTACGTCTGATAGTATTTAAAAACCCTGCCTTACTGTAACTGTCAATAATAAACTAATGGTCTAAAAAAAACATCTGACCATCCTCTCGAACTTCTATTGTAGATTGGTGATGAAGGATCTTTTATTTATCCACACTCATACCTTCATAGTTTGCTCTATCTAAGACATGTTGTAGAGATATGTGCTTTACAGATTTTCATACAAGTCGTTTTATTAGAAGGAACAATAAGAATCAATTCACATTTCTCAATACAAAAACTCGAGACAATACATAGTTCTTTGTGTTTTTATCATTGTTGGTTTTAAAATTAAGAAAATGATATGAAATTGAATATTGTTTTTAATCAATAATAATGTATCTCAATATTACGACACAAAGAGAACACGACAATTATATTGATGAAACAGCGAACTGATTGATATACAGGCATCGATATGTATTCAAAGTAAATTCACTAGTATGCATCTCATTCGATGATTATGTCTGGATTTATCTTCAATATAGTAAATTGAAGTAGATGAGAATCGAACAAATGAAAACAATATGTTAAATGACAATAAGTAAGTTAGTTTTATCTTAGAAACACGATAGCAAGTAACCATCAACATATCTACTAGAATGACAAAGTAAAGAATAATAAAAAAGCTGATTCGTTTAAATGTACTTTACCATACATCATACGATCACAAAATAAATAATAGAATGAGAGCAATAGTAAAACACACGTCATTCATAGGTGACTATTTTCCTTTGGTTATTTTAGAAACATTGAATACGAAACGTTACCTTTCATCTATCAACAAATCATCATTATATAGTACTTAAATTATGAGTGAAACACCAAATGTTCAAGTCAACACATTGGTAAATACAATTTAATCTGCTTTATAACAAATTGATGAAATTATTGATCGTCTTTTTTATTTTTAGAATATGCCGACGATCGTTGCCAATCGATTCCATGATAAAACAGCTATTGTCACCGGAGCTGGATCAGGTATAGGACGAGCTGTTGTTTTACGTCTTGTCGACGAAGGTGCTTACGTTCTCGCTATTGACCTTAATGAAGCTGGATTAAAAGAAACAATGCAATCATCACACCATCCGGAACGTATTTCAATAGCTGTTATGTCTATCACAGATGAAAAAAAAGTCATCGAAAAAGTTAATGAATATATTGCTCATCAAGGTCGTCTTGATGTTCTTGTTAATGTAGCTGGTATATTACGTACAGGTTCAATAGTAGATACATCAGTAGAAGACTTTCGTTCAATTCTCGATACAAATTTAATTGGTACATTTTTGATGTGCCGCACTTGTCTTCCTCATTTGGTAACTACAAAAGGTAATATTATAAATACAGCTTCAACAGCCGCTTTACATGGTCATCCTTTTATGTCAATATATGCAGCAAGTAAAGGAGCTATTGTTGCATTTACAAAATCTCTCGCAAGAGAATATCTTCTTCAAGATGTACGTGCTAATGTTGTAGCACCGGGTGGTATTGATACTCCAATGCATAAGAGTGTTCGATTACCATTAGATATGAATAATCCTTTATTTGATAATTTAAAAATGCCCAATAGACGATTTGGTAAAACGGAAGATGTAGCTGGTGTTATAGCTATGCTTGCATCTCAAGATGGATCTTTTATTAATGGTGATGTTATTCGAATTGATGGTGGTGTTCATAGTTGATGATATTGGTTTTTTTTATGCTTAAGAGATTAAAATTTTGTTATAAAAGACTATCATAAATCATCTATTTATTCTTATATAAAAAAAAAAATTTGGCAAAATTAAATAAAAGTTTTGAATTATTAAGCATTGTCTGTTTTAAGTTGATGAACCATTGGTTGTCCACTAAAAAAATTGAGTAAATTATTCACACTTATTTGTACCATTTGATGACGTGCATGTACATCAGCACTACCAATATGTGGGAATATCGTACAGTTATCAAGTGTTAAAAGACGATGATCTGTAGGTAATGGTTCAGGTACAGTAACATCCAAACCTATAGATAATTATAATTGTTAAACTAAAGAATGATTGAAAAATTTCGATCTATTGTCAGTAAATCGATGATATCTATGACAAACATATATATGTTTAATTGATCGAAATATATCATTTTTTTAAAAATATTTCGAAATGCATAAATATAGCACAATATTATGGTCATTTTACAGCTTTTGAGAAAAAACTTTATAATTGTTCTATTTTCATTTTGCTGCTCACAGCATTTTTCTTCATCAGACGTATTATTTTAGTTGATTATGATTGCAGTTTTATAATACTTCATATTGTCAAAGACTGTTGTATTGACAATAGAGAGCTGCGAGTACACATTTTTATGGATTCGGACTCAGTCGAGGCCAGATTCGAGTTTTTTCCATCAATATCTAGCAACTTCTGTGTACATAAACAGTTGAAGGATCTAGGCATTAGCTATTTATTGGTTACTCTCAGAAAGAAACCAACGTACAGTTATTTCTTGTTGTTCACTTTCCCATATCACTTGCTGCTTAATAAATTATAAGTTTTCGCTTAGTCGAAAAGAACAATACGTTAGAAAAAATAAAACTGAGTAGTTAATTGATAAAATGAATTCTTTATTGCAAATCATCAAACTAACAGTAGTACAAAAATCTTTAGCTTTATAGAATATTCTTCGTCATATTTATGTAAATTAGATCAAGCAAGAATATGTTCTATGCAATCAATATGAAAATTTACTTATTTATAAATCATCTTCTGATACTAATTCACTACCTCAGCATATTCATAGTTGTCAAAATAAAAAAAAATCGAATCAGCTATTTCAGATCGAGTGTAAGCAGAAAATAAAATTTTGTTGTGTTGAATTCGCGGTACTTGACTATCGATCATTCGAAACAGATGATAGTATCGGTTTTGCAAGTCTTGCACAAAAAAAAAAAAAAAAAAAAAATTATGCTGCTCGATGCTTAACTATAGACATCTGCGGATTCATGTTCTAGAGTATCATTCGACCAGATTTAAGTGAATATGAATATGTCAGACAATAAAGTATTGATATATGAGAAAATTTCATTGTACAAAAGGATTAACAATATTTCAAAGAGGTTAAACTCAAGATTAGTAAAATGACTATGATATTGTACTACTTTTATACATTTCGAATTATCTTTCTCTAAAAACTTGCATATTTCGATCAATTAAACATATATAAGTTTATCATAGATATCATCGATTTACTGACATACGTCGAAAATTTTCGATTATTCTTTATTATTACAATGATTGTTTACCTGCTGCTCTAATTTGACCATTTTTTAATGCATCATAAAGTGCATCTTGATCAATAATACCTCCTCGTGCAATATTAATTAAAATTGCATCATTTTTCATTTGTTCAAATGCTTTTTTATTAAACATATTTGTTGTTTTTTCATTTAATGCACATGCAACAATAATAAAATCAGATTCATGTAATAATTCTTCAAATGATACAAATTTAAATAATTTTTTATCATTATCAGAATCAAAATATTTTTCACGTGTACCACTATAAAGTACACGTTGAATAGAAAATGTTTGTAAACGACGTGCAGTAGCTAAACCAATACGACCTAAACCAACAATACCAATTGTTGAATTAATTAAAGGTTTACCACACATCCACATTATATCAGATGATTTACCCCATTCACCATTCTATTTCAAAGTCATATATGAATAGAAAATTAATAAAAAGTAAATCATTCTTATTATGATGTCTTACACGAACTGCTCGCATGGCTTCAGCTATTCGTCTTGATGTTGCTAGTAATAATGTAATAGCTAAATCAGCTGTTGCATCTGTTAATACACCTAAAAATTTCAAAATCGAATTTAACAATCGATTCTAAATGATTAGTATTATATTCTACCTGGTGTATAACCGATAGGTATGCCTCTTTTTTCACATTCTTTTATATCAATATGATTAAATCCAACTGAACATGTAGCTAACATTTTGAGTTTATCACCTGCTATCGATAATACTTCTTTACCAATTTTTGTTGTTCCTGCAAAAAGAATTGCATCAGGTGGATGAGCACGAATACGAGATAAAATTTCTTCTTGAGATAGAGGTGTTGAAATATCTTGATAATCAAGATTAAATATTCGTTCAAGTGAACGAATAAACTGTATAGGTATTTGAAAAGTTATGAATAGACGTGGTCGAATAATAGATGTCATTGTCTAAATATAAACAATTGTTTCTATCTCATGTATATATTTTCTACACATATAAATTGTGTTTCTGTGTTTATGAACAAGAAAAAAGACAATTGTAAAAACAAGAAAAGAAAATGTCAAGATATTATAAGTGTTTATATTAAGCACTTGTGAGTGGTTTGAATCGTTCCGTGCGTTTAAGTTTTTGTTCCTAAATAATAAAATTTTTTGAATTGAATCATAGAAAAAAAATTACATTCTTACATTCAATGTATTTGTTTTGGCTACCTGAGATATATCACCAAAACGTTCAGTTCTTTTTTTAATAGCATCAGATAAATCTGAAGTGGTTGATGCAGATTTTTGAGCAGCTTTATTATTAGTCTAAAGTATAGAATATTTGAAAATATTATTTCAAAAATTACAAACTCGGTTGTTTGAAAGAGAAGAATTCTGAACAGAGATGAAATTGGGATTGACGCTGGTGAGCGTCCGAGAATACAAGATCTCAAGAATAATATCCTATAATATTTTGAGTTAGGAGTGAAACTTGCCGTAATTTTACATTATTATTAAGAATAGTCAGAAGAGTAAATGTCATAACGGCAACTAGTTCGTCGATGGAAAGATTAATATAGTTTACGAGCGAACCTCTTCAGATGTCTAGTTGCTTTTCGAACGAGATGCCATTTATTTTATGAATGACAGAAAAGTGTAGAGAATGGTTTTGTTTTCCGAGTCTTTATTCTCGAGATATTGAAATTTAACTGGACTTTTCAACAAAAAACTGTGTCTTCTTTCAGGTTACATGAAAAATCCATTTCCAAGCTTCGACTTCAAACTTGGTACGAATTATGTCCTTAATGAGATTAGTTTATTATACAAGCTTTAATTTTTCTGGTATTTCCTTTCTGGAAATGGAAATTTATTTTTACACATGAGAAAATTTCGAATATTTCAGAATAGAAGATACTAGAAAAGATACAATTTGCCCAATGAACTAATCTTATTAAGAATTTTGTTCGTACTAAGTTTGTAGTCAAAACTCGATTAGGGAAAGACCATACCTTCCTGTTGAAAAATCCAGTAAATTTTTGATACCTCAAGAACGAACACTTCAAAAATCAAATCATTCTACACTATACTATCACTCATCAACTAGATTGTTATTTACTCAAAGGCGACCATATTATTTATACATTCTTACGATATATTCAACAACAAAAAAACAACTTACTCTTTCTCGTGATCCAGCTGTTTATATTGATTACATTTAAAATCCTGTATCTTTAAGTTTGCTTTATTCACCCTATGAATGTCAAGTATTTTTTGTTTCCTGGTGAAAAACATGAGATATGATTTATCAACATGATTGTATTTTAAATTGTTTTTGTTTAAATAGTATGTCTATGATATTTGATATCATACCTTATACACCGATAAGCTTTTATCATTATCAAACATGTAATGGAAAGATAGTCTTGTAGCTTAGATGCAGGAAGGTACTTTGCCTAGTATAACAAGATGACTAAGTGACAATGTCCTACAGAGTGTAAAAAAACCTACCCTGTGACCTTCTCAAGTTATAAAAGATTTTAAACTGATCTATTTAAGGTATTTCTATATTGACTTCAATTCTATTTAACACATAAGAAAAAACTATTAACCGCACCTAAATCGTTAAAATCAAATCAAACGAACTTTTCGATTTAGAATTCATAGTTTTTAACTTCGAGTAATCAACTGTAAAAATAAGTAAGTCGTAATTCATTTAGATTATTATTATCACACAAAGATATAAGGAGTTATATTTCTTTGCTTTCATCATCGATCATCTAATGTGTCGAGACAATTAATAATCAGCAAAAAAGCATTCTATGTGATAAAATTCAATGTCATTCAAATGATTTCTTACTGTAGATGGTGTAACAACACCAAAACGACCAATACGTTTTTTCTTTGTTTCTTCATCTGTTGTCGATGTTGAATTAACTAAATGAAAACGATCAGCTCGTAGACGTTTTTTTTGTTGTTCATCTTCCTATATCAAACAAAAATAAATTATTTTAACAAAATAAAATCTTCAAATTCATACTGCAGAATGAGGAACAGCTCCAAATCTTTCTAAACGTCGTTTTTTAGCTGTACCCTCAATTGCTTCCTTAAGATTAACACAAAAACAAAATAAAACAACGGATCTTTATTGTTTTTTTTATTAACATACGTGCGATGTACCAAAACGTAATGCACGAGAAATTTTTTTTGCTTCAGGTGCTATTTTCCCAAAACGATCAAGACGTTGTTTAAATTTCTATTAAAATAAATAAAATCTCGAAAATTGTTTTTCTTTCTTGTTGAAATAAAAAACTTTACATCAACTGCTGACACTTCTTCATTTTGATTATCTGCACTAATCACACCATTACTCAATTCAAATTCACTATAAAAAAACAAAACAAAAGTTAAAAAATTCAAAAGTTTTTTTTGTCTAGTTTTGCATACGTTAATGTTTCAGCAAGTTCCTTGGTTTTCTCAACAGGTGATTTAGCTTCGGTTATTTTATTTGTTGCCATTTTCGTAATAAATATTCTTAAAAAAACATTAGAAGTGTGATGAAAGATAATGTGAATCAATGTAGTCTTTATTTAAACCAATCAGAATATAGTATAAAGACAAATGATTTGTTTATTGTTAACCAATTGTGGACACCGGTCCTTCATGGTTTTAACCAATAGAATTACTGTCCATTTTTTATTCTCATATATCCATACATTTTTATTGACTTAATTGTCTATTGACACATATGCATGAATCATCAAATCATTGTCGAAATTTGTATCCACTTATGCACTTACTTCGAATAGAAGATCAGAAAACAAAAATTAGATAAAAACGTATAGAAACAAATGGTATATTTACCTATATATTTTGTTTTCACGAAAGTTTAGTCCCACACAAATGATGTCGCTATACTACACGCAGAATTTGATAATAGTACAACCATATTTTCTGTGAGAACAAATAGAAATGAAAGATATCGGTAAAACAATTCCTTGATTTTAGTTTAGTTCCATGGTTATAGTAGGTCAGAAGAATTTGACTTCATAAATAATCTTTATTAGTGATATACTTCATATGCTGTAAATATGAGCTTTCAAAAAACAGTCCCATCTTAGGTGTTGCCACACGTAGTGCATTCGATATTGATTGTCATTTCTCCCATTGCTTTATATCACCAGACCACGTACTATATATGTCGGTAGCGAGACCTGTTGAATTACAAGATATATTTTGCCATAAGATGTATATGAAAATAAGACAAATACTCAAATCAAATTATATGTTATTTTCATTTCGTTTAATTATTCATTGCAATCTCTCGAGATTAAAACTTCAAATATCAACGTGTCAAAATATAATTGTATATCATAAATAAAAAAGTTTTGAACAATTTCTCTATTATATGAGGAAAATATTTTTAACTTTCATTCAAGAGAAACTAATATCTTCTCGCAGAAAAAAAATTAAGCGTGTTTTTTTTTGGACTATTTATCAATGTTTAAGTTCATTTTTCTGGGTTGATTATTTACTGTTTTAAATTGGATAGATTTGAATACCTTGCTTGAAAACAAAATAATCATTGCGTTCAGAAGATCTTTTGCTATTTACGAACAGATTGTTTTGAAGGTAATCATTATTTTGTTTTCAAGCAAGGTATAGACTTTTTAGACTTGATTGATCATCAGCATTATACGAGTACTATAACTGGTAAAAAAACTCATAACGTTTTGATTTACTATAGAACCTACTTGGTAAGAAACTAGTTGGGGTACCCGGTTAGACTGACGATCCTCATTAGACTTCTGCAAAATGGTCACGGTCACGGCCTCTCGTGACCGTGACCGTGACTAGTTTTCGAAAAATTATCGTGACTGGGATCGTGACCGTGACCAAATAGCTCATGATCGTGACCGAATAGCTCGTGATCGTGACTTATTGGTGATAAATTTTAATATTAAAAATCTGATTTTTCTAAAAAAAACAAGATTTTAATTGATCTACGAGTTTTCTTTGTTTTATTACAGAAGAAATCTACGAAATGAATTTAAATCTTTATTTTGTAGCACAAAAATCAAGGTAGTAATCCGAAATCCCCGTGACCGTGACCAGGCAGCTCGTGACCGTGACGTGACGTGACTGAAAAATCGTGGTCACGCAGAAGTCTAATCCTCATATATATAAAAGAAACTAAATTTGGTACTAGGTAATTCGTTTTGATTATCTTCAATAGCAACAAGACATTCGAAATATAAGTAGATGCATATATAAAGACCTGCTAGTTTACAATTGTGCACAGACAACGTTTTAGATCCGTCCAAATATGTATTCTTAATGCTGCAATCTAAGTCAAAAAGAAATCTGAATATGTATATAGAGAGAGACAGAGCATGAAATACTCCGTCTAGCTGACTACTTTTTTCTCTTCAGTTACTTAAAATCGGTCGAATATTGAATGGTAATTTTGTGCAAAGAGTTTGCATACATACCAGTAGTCTAATTATCTTAACTGAAAGAAATTGGATGTAATAGATTTTACATTGTTTACAAGAACAAGAGATTATTTCTGATAATGAATTAGTTTTTATTAATATTGAATTAGAAAAATTCTTTTAAATCATAAAATAGAACATGATAAACGAGAAAAGATAACATTTACTAGTTTTTGTTCATTTATAATATATTAAATACTATTTTATTTGCGCTACAATTTGACAAAAAAATTGTTTAAACAAGTTGGTGCTTATATTTTTTCATTTTTAATATCTTATTTTTTGTGATATATTGTATTCATGTCACATCGAAATGCAAATAATGGAAACATTTTTATATTCGCTTTTTTATTTTATTCAAACGATAATATACACAAGACGTATGTCTTTTGTTCCCGACACGAAACGCCCTCTTTCATATTTTAGAGGCCATTGGTCATTTCAATACAATGGTGATTTTGTGTGCGTGTACCTATCGAAGTGTGTGTACGTTATCTCGACCTTTATGGAAGTACAGGTAAATCGATTTGTTTGTAAATTAATTAATATATTAGTAGATTAAAATTTCTTGTTTTTAGATGTGGAAACATTTCAAATTTGTTCCTAATTCTGTAAATTTTTCATGTCATACAGATGAAAAATTCAATGAAGTAAGAGTTATAATTATTTTTTAAAAAGAAAAAGATAATCGAATGAAACAATGTAATCTGCTTGATTACCTTTGAAAAGTGAAATCAAATCGAGCATAACGGATTAAATTAGATTAGCTAGCAACCTCTTTATTTGCTATCAAATGTCTCAGAGGACGCTCACTCCTGTATAAGACCTAGATCATCAATTTTCTCGACTCACACACAAAGTTATTAGTTTTATATTGTGGAGAATCTCCTAGCGTGATTCTATGAATAAAGCGTTCAAATAATAATTTTACTGCTTGTTTATCTCGTAGTGTAATGTTACTCTGTCTTCTTTGCATAGTATCAATGATACAAGGGTGTGATGAAAATCTTTCAATTATTGGGATCTTGAGTTATAAACTGATCAAATCAAGTCAGAGGCAGACTAATAAAAATTATTGCGTTACTTCTTTCACATTCTCTATTTGTGTAGTGTGTCGTAAGAAGAGCAGGATTGATGCAGTAGGTTTTTGTAAATATGTCAGATCTTATTACTGTTCCTATCATAAGATATAACTATGGTATTAATGTGTCTTTTATATCACTCATATAAATCAGCAGATTTGATGTTCTTATTTTAGAAAAGAAGCAATTCAAAAGACCTGAAACTTTCACAATAAAGTATTCTCGTTAAGGTCTGTCTCTATGCTAAATTTTCAAGTCAAAATTCAAAAACCATTTTTTCTGATGTTTCTTAATGGAACCACGACATCTTCCTAAAAAACGCAGTATCCCTGCAGCAATAAGCTAAAAGCACGAGTTCTTTTCAGGGTATTCATAGCTCATTTGGATCTACATAATACACATAGTTTCAACTCAAAAAGGATTGAACAGTTGGAGTACTTTCCTCGTAAGTCGTCATTGTATACTCCAATGAGAGAACACACCTAAAAACATAGAAGAAGTGCTCTGTGCAAGAGAATTATATATCACATGAGAGAATGGAGAGTTCATTTTTTTTCGATCTGAATGAAATCGAGATTTTATCATTTGTTTTCATCTCTAATTGATATAAACTTGTTACATAGTACAAATGTTTGTACACTATTTCATTTAGTTCGATACTTTACTGCATTCTGAATGGGATCGTGCTGTTACTCAAGGTCTTTTTATATTTCCAATTGATTATCATACTAAACGACGAATACTTGAAGATGGAGATCTGCAATATATTATTGAAGTAAATTATTTATTTTGAAAGATTTCGAATCAAGTTTTCTTTACATATAGTTTAATCGTGATCGAAAGGAAAAACGTCGAGTGCCATATCCATTTGAAATAGTGAATGCACCATTTGATAAAAAGAAATTTAATTTTAATAAAATAAAAGATGAAGAAGTAAAGTTAATAAATACTTTTATTTAAAAACACAAAGGCTGATTATTATTCAGATTCTTTTTTCTTTAGACAACGAACAACAAATAGATAAACATTTAGTAATAATTAACAATGCACCTATTCGTCCTTATCATCTATTACTTGTACCTGATCGTCTGCTTGAACAAACACAAGTAAAAAAAAGAAACGTAAATTAGAAATCAAGAAATACATCAATTTGAATAGGTTCTTACTAGTGATTGTATTGTATTCGGATTTGAATTTGTTGCTTCAAGTGGTCATCCATATATTTTGGCTGGTTTTAATTCACTTTGTGGTTATGCATCAATAAATCATGTAAGATGTTTTATTTATTTTATTGATTTAATATTTCTTTATGTTTTAGTTACATCTTCATGGAATGTATTCTCCTGATCGTTTATTTCTTCAGACAATAGTAAATTTTATTTTAAATTTTTTTTTGTGAAACATGCTCTTATAGAAAGTGTTGAAATATAGAGATAGAAATTTAGACATAATCTCTCACTAACTGGCTATGGTAAATACTCGAGACCTGCCTAGCCACGGTTTTTCTTAACTCCGAAATTTTTTCCCCGGTAAATTAACGACTGCTTACATGTCCGACGATACTAAGTAACTTAAGGCTACATGAAGATGATAAAAATGGAGAATCACATCTGCAAAGTTAATCCAACTTAGATGTTTTGTTTTGTCTTTTTTCTATTTCATATTATTTAGACTATAGGATTGACATTTTATCGTTTACTAAACGTTACAGTTGTCAAAAATAAATGCTACATAAGAAAAAGAATGAAAGAGGACTTTCAGAGTTTAGATAGCTTACGTCAGCTTTGACTCTGTCGTAGTTGGAGTCCAATGCAAGGCTCTAACAGATCGTAATAAATGCTTTAGCAACGTTCCCCCTCTTCGTCGAACACTGTGACAAACGTTGTTGATATACGAGCAAAGACTAACGACGGAAGGCCACCAACTGTTCAATCGCTTTTGCGTTGAAACCATTTGCATCATGTAGTTCCCAAAGAGTTATGAATACGCAGAAAATATTTTGAGCGGATAGCTTATTGTTATGAAAATAGTCCATTTGTAAGGTATGTTTTTGATGATTGCCGTGGTCCCCTCAGGAATATTAAAAAAATTGATTTTCGAATTTCGATTTGAAACTTTACAGAGAAATACTTCTCAACGATAATAGTGTTTTCTGAAAGTTTTAGGCCTTTTGATTGTTTGTTTCACCAAATCTGCTACTTTATTTGAAGGATATAAAATACACATTTCACAATAGCAGTGTCTAGTGATAGGAACACTAGAAAGATCTGAAACGTTCACAAAAAGTTGTTCTCCTTGGGGCGTCTTTCTATGTAAAGTTTCAAGTCGAAATTTGAAAATCAATTTTTTTAATGTTCCTGAGGGGGACCCCAGACACTGAATAAAATCCATACCTTACAAATGGACTATTTTCGTAATAATAAGTTATCCGCCCAAAATATTTTCAGCGTGTTCATATCTCTTTGGAAACTACATAACGCAAAAGCGATTGAACAGTTGGTGGCCTTCCCTCGTAAGTATCAATAACGTTTTATTCTAATAAACGAAATACTTCTTTATTGCATTTCTGGAGGATTAAGTGAAAACATAGTGTCCCAAAATAGATAGAATAAAGCAATCTTGCTGTGATTAATAATAGTAACAGTAGTCACATTGTATTTTACATTTTAACCCTACAGGGACTGCGTTAATAGCTTTTTTTAAATATAATTTAAGATTTTATTTTTTTTTAGAAATGTTCTCCATTTCATGCAAAATCAAATTGTTATCTTTCGGATTTATTTTACACTCAAGCATTTGCTTTCGAAGTTCAACATGTTGACGAATTCCATAGAATTGCTCAGTAAAAAACTGACATAAAATTATAATGATAATTTTAATAAATGTTTAGATATGTGTATAAAATAACAAATTATTTAACTTCAAATAATATTGCTCATAATATGACGATTGTAAAAGGTGATTCATTTTCATCATCAGAAAATGTTTTACGTATATTTCTTTGGTTTCGTCAATCGGTTATTAGTATGTATTTTGAATAATTATCAAAAGTTTATTTTAAGATTTGAAATCTAGATGGAAAAAATTTTGATCGATGTAATTTTGCTTGTTTTGAACTAGCTGGTTATATGACACTTCACAGTAAGAAGGAAGATAAAGAATGAATTTTATTAAGGAAACTGAATTATTCTTTCTTTTAGGTGAAGACGTTTACAATAGTTTGACAGAATCAGAATTATGTCAACATATGAATGATATAGCTTTATCATCGGAAGAACAAAAACGAATTAAAGACGACGTAAAAAGTTTATTAGATGAATTAGTTTAATACACAATAAATTATTTCCATTATTTCATAGAATTTGTTACTAATTTATTTTTAAAAATAAATTAACGAGTAGCTCTTAGTAAATGATCAGGTTGTTATTTTTTTTTTTCGTTTCACAATTTAGTACGTTTTATTTAAAAAACAAAAGATGTAGTATGAAAAATTGAAAAAATTAGAATTGCAGTATTATTTTATACATGCATACTTTAATTTTAAAATAGAAAAAAATTTGTACGATAAATTTTCGTCGTTGAACACAATCATTTGTTTACTAAGCAATCATTTCGCTTTTTTTTTATCTGATCAATTGCAGGCAATTCTGTTGATTGACGGAAAATATTTTTCATTAGAACTTGTTTCTGCTGAAAGCCAATCAGAAGACATAAACCAAAAAGCTAAGTATTGAAAAACGAATTATGATATAGTTAAATGCATCTAAAAATGGTCTCATATCTCCAATTATCTTGAAACCATGTGAAACATTATCACATGAAAATTGCATTGAAGTTGTTCTCCCACATGCACAACCTGAGAGCAAACAGCTTCTAGACAACGATTTCATCGAGCAACAAGGCAAAACCGCGAAACATACGCATCGGAAATCATTAGCATCCTTGAAGAGAATCTAACGTATTTTATAAATAATTCCTGATGGCTACCAAACAGTCTTGAATTCAATGTTTTGAATTATTACATAGAGAACACTTCTTCACTTAACAAATCACAATCTTATAATCAAGAGTTTAGTTCACAAGTTAAACCTCTATTAATTAGGCACATAATAAGTATTCAGTTTTTTAAAACATGATAGAGCACTGTAGAAGTGAATGACTGCTACTGTTTTATAGGTGATGATTCAAACGAAAAAAGATGTGGGTATTAGTGTGGGTGGCTGTGGGTTAACAGCGGACTCACACCTTCACCTATCCAATCGCACGCTGACTAAGTTGTGACATACACCTGGTCTCGTGGCTATTATGTGACTAATCAATGTATACGAAGAGTTCAAGTGATTGAGCGCAAGAACATTGCGTCAGGTCGACCAGGGTGTGTAAAGCTACAGCTTATAGTAGTTGCAGGAAAGGTATCACGCTAATGAATCTACCGCTAGGCAGCGTTCTATACTACAAGGTAGGTGAGCGGCAGTAATATTCTCTCTTCTACCTATCTTTTCTCCAACATTTTTATTTTCGACCAAACTACGGCCAACCCTTTCTTTTTTCTTGATTCAATACGATTCATAGATCTTGATAGTCAATAATAGAGCCTTTATTCTCAGTAGACGAGGTATAACAAATCTTGATTAGTTTCATTGAAACATTGTCAAACAGTATAAATGCTTTTAATAATTCTCATATTCATACTACGTCGATTTTTGAAAGTTTCGAAATTCCAAATGTTTCTGAAAACAGCTTTCTTTTACATGAACTTTATATGAAATAGTTGGATTGATTCTTGTTTCTTCTATTAAATAAATACTTAGGACAACAAGTAAAAAAACAACAATCAATAATATCTTAAGATATATAAAGCCTACATGATTCTCCTTACGATAAATAAACAATTAAAATAGACTAATCTCGACAATTTAAATAACTCTTCTTTGAATAACATTGATAAGAATACGAAAACATCATGAAAACTATAATTATCGAACATTAATCAAATGACAAGAAAAAGCATATTCAAACCAATAAAAAAATACTTTATTACGATTTCATAACCAATCCAAAATATCATATGAAAAAATCTGGTAAAAAATCTTTCAATTTGGAAGCTACCACATTCTGTAATAAAAGCTGTAAATGTCAGGTAAAATCTAAAACTCTCGAAAGTGCATAGCATGGGAGTGAGTGGTGATGTGGATAAGGAGTACAAGCGCCAGTTTACTCTTCATCTAAACCCATATTGATATTCACATTGAGGCAAAAAAACACACGGAAAACAGCGCTCGAAAATTGACTTAACACGTATAATTGATATAATAATTATTTCGTTATCACATCCAATCTCCTCACCGATTTGTCTTTCATCGTAGCGGAAAAGAAGTTATGATTGCACAATAAGACATTATTTAAGGTCGATCAGCTAATATTTCAAAGTATTTTTGCTACTCTTTCATTTTTTTTCTTTTTCAATAATAAACATTTCATTCGAATTTCGTTGCTTAATTTTTTAAAATCATTCAAATGAGAAAATATTCAGAAGATTTCACCTCAGTTTTCATAATTTTCTCTTTTGACATTTTTATTCTTGTGTTTTTTTTTTATTTCGACTTTATACTATCGACATTTTTACTTTCGATCACGGTTTAGATAACCTAAATATCATTATAACATGCGTGAATGTGTATTAAAAAGATGATCATCTATCACAACATGAAGTTAATAATCTGTTTGAATGGACACAGATAAAGATGTATTGCTTCTGTTCTTACTATGAAGTCAATTCTTGTTAGTTTTTATTTCAAACATTCATCAAAACGAAAAAAAACAATGATCGATAGAATCATCACAAGTTACTTTTTTATTATTGTATGATAGAAATGAAATATAATATCTTCTTTTTTTCTCTTTCGTTAAAACTTACATCATTACACATCGATAACGGAAAACAAATCTATTCGAAGTGCGAAGAAAAAGAAACTATCATATTATCCACTTTGCACAATAATAATCCGTAGTCATAAGATAATCATGTTTATTAGCTTGATTTTATTGATATAAGAAGATTTTCATTGATCATTATACTTTTTTCTAGTTGAAAAAAAAAAACATCGCGAAATAAATATGTCGTCAGTTGTACCTGATAATGAATTAAAATCACAAAATGAACGAACCGTAGCTGATGGTGATATTTCAAGCGAACCTTCGGCAAAAAGACAACTGACTTTTCGAACATATAAAAATTTGTTCGTTATTTCTATGGCTTTTCTTCTTCAATTTACTGCATTTCAAGCTATGAGTAATTTACAAAGTTCGTTAAATACCGAAGCCAATGTTGGTGTTAATTCTTTATCAATTATCTATGCGTTTCTTATTATTTCATCTATTTTTTTACCACATCCATTAATAGCTTTACTCGGTCTAAAATGGACCATTGTCGTGTCTCAAATTCCGTAAGTATATGCAATATAATCAGATTTCGATTATATGATTCAACAAATATTTGACTTGATTTAAAGGTACTCATTCCCCTTTCGTGATCAAGAAGTTTTTTTTTGGGACGATTACGCATAGTCTGAAGTGGTATCTATCTATTGAAAAATTGTCTTTTAGCATTAAAAAATTCGAGAAGAAACCAGATTAATGAAAACTACACACCTTTTCACATTTTTACTCAAATCAATTTTTCGTTGGAAAAAAGTGCAAAAGAGTCCTCATTTTTCAGCCTACTACGTTCAATCAAATTGAAACCTTTTTTTTTCAGATATATTATATAGAATAGTTTCGGATTGTTCGTGATCTATGCTTTCATACACTTATGGAAGAATTACAGCACAAAAGGAAGACGAGAGAAGAATCAAGCCTAGAATGACTGATGAACAATATGCGAACAAGAGTATTTACATGTGCATGCGCAAGAGAGAGAGAGAGCGACTGCTCACAACTGTGAATGTGTGATTGGTGAATTAGTGATAGTATATATTTTTTCGGATGAGTTTCTTTTCAACAGCTCTCATAGAAAAGAATATGCATTTTTTTAGGGTACACTCAATATTTTAGCTCTTTCATTTGAAGAACAAAAAGTAAAAAGATACCCATATCAAACAGTATCTAGTGTCGGCAAACACTAGAAATTTTCAGCTCGATCGCACATAACATTTCAGTGACACCGGAGCGAAACTTTGAACCATTGTGATCTCAATATCTCATAGAAGACAGCATTCGAGAACTAGGAGTGGATGTGGTTTCTATTCTTCTCTTATTCCCATCTGGACTCACACCACTTACTTTCATTTTCTTTCGCGTATGCTTAAGTTTTCATGCTCATCGTTCACCAGTTCATCAAACAACGGGACTCTGACACTTTCTCACAAGTATAAACTTGAGGCGGAGGTATTCCACTATAAGATAACAATAGGAAAAGTTGGATTTCAACGTTCATTTAGGCGCTAAGATAATAAAAAAAAAGGCCATTTTTATTAATATCAGCGCCAGAATTAAAGAGAACTGGATGACCGTTTTCAACTATGAAGTGGAAGAAAGAAAACAGAATTGAGATATTAATTTTCTCAAGAAAAAGAGAAAAGCGGCCAATACCAAAGTTTGACTCAGGTCAGGTCGGGCCACAGATATTTAACCCATGTCGAAGATTGGTGAAAGTAAGACAAAAGAATTCCACAGTTACCTAACATTTCAATTTAGACTTGGAGTCTCTGTATAAGTGTTGCGTCTTTAGGGAGAATGCCATCATTTCTTTTTATCATCTCCAGTATTCTAACTATTCCGGATATATAATGCAATAACTAGCTCATTTATTTGATAAACTATATTCTGACGATTTTATGTGTAAACTTAATTAAGTTTGATTTAACCACTGATGTCTATGTTTTTAAGGTATCTGTTATATCTAGCAGCAAATTGTTATCCAAAAGCATATCTTATGTATCCGAGTAAGAAACGATTTCAACATATTATTTGTTATAAATCGTTTTGTTTTTAAAGCTGCTGCCCTTGTTGGTTTAGCTGCTGCACCATTATGGACTTCAAAATGTAGTTATTTAACTGATACTGGTGCAATCTATGCTGAAAGTAAACTTGTTCATAAAAATGTTATTGTCAATAGATTTTTTGGTTTATTTTTCATGTTTTTTCAATCAGGTTTGTATATTAATTTGTTGTTTAGTATCAAAGAAAATTATTCTATATAGCACAAGTATGGGGAAATTTAATATCATATGTCGTACTTAAACCTATGGAAATAAAGACTAATGGAACAATAACAAATTTAACAGAAAAATATAATAAATGTGGAGCAGATTTTAGTGAACAAGAATATAAAGGTGCTCATGTTACTAATCAAATTGATCGAAAAACAGTAGAAAAAAAATCAAAACATAATATAATTATTATTATTATTTATTTTTATATTAGATTCAAATTCTTTGTATTGTCTATGTTTGTATATGTATTTGTTCAATATTAATAATAATAAGTTTTCTTAATCAACGACGAAAAGCATCAAAAGGTAAATAAAAGCCAACGAGAGGAAAAAAATTGACATATAATTTATTCTCATGTAGATAACATTTCTCTTATGTTTCGTCATTCTGTTACATTACTTGTTTCAACAGTTAAACATATGCGTCATGTTAAACAATTATTGCTTATTCCATTAACTATTTGGTCAGGTTTAGAACAATCATTTCTAGGAGCACAATTTACATTAGTAAATAAAAATTATAAGACTCTGTTGAATAAGATGACCACTATTCATTTGAAAAGTCACCTACACTGTTCTGTAGAGGAACTTGAGTCGCATCGAATAGTATATAAGAAATTACTTTGTCATCAAGCTTTTATGTTCTGAGAAGTTCTATACCACTTGTAGAACATTATAGCGATTGTAAGTCATATGAAAAAATATTAGGACTGAGTGCATTTCCAAATAAACTTCTATCAAATTTTGTTTAAAGTTGCCAAGGCGTGACCAAGATCAACTTTTCTATTCCCAAGGACAGAACAGTATATGAGTTTTGTGATCAATGATTCTTGAGTGAAAAAGTTTTCTACCTATTAATAATAAATTCTTCATGCCCTCTCATTTGACATATTTGAATCTTTTGAAAATGGCGAAAAATACTTTACGCTTTCAAACACTTGGGATGAATTATAGGAATGAACTATTACTAAGATTACTGTTTATTTCATTTTTTTCCTTAAAAATTTAGATTCTGAGTAGCCGGATGTGACTCGATTATGGAGTTCTATTAAATTCAATATCTGTTCGATGTCTTATAAGAATTAAAAATTTCACATATCCGGTACTTCCTCCAGATGTTTGAAAGAAAAAATTTACTCCACTATTTTCGAAAAATCCATATATGGCAAATGATAGGACATGATGAATTTATTATTAATAGATAAAAACTTTGCACTCAACAAGCATCTATCACAAAACTCATACTTTTCTGTCCTGAAAAATTCAAAAAGTTGATCTTGATTACAAATTGATTCGACCATGATGCACAACAATTCAGAGAAAAATCAATTGGTATAGTTGCAGAGCTTTGTAGCACACAATTTCTCATTAAGTTCTGCAGTTGGTTGACTTTACTTAGAAGTAGTATTGAAGAATTTAAAATATCATTTGTGTACATTGAAAGCTATCGTGAGTATTATTAGATAGACAGAATTGAAGACGAGATAAAACTCTATTGAAATAAGTCTAAACGAAATTTGATATTAGTTAGTTTGAAGACGTACTCAGTCCTAATCTTTGGCTATATCATCTTCAACAGCTATCATATTCCCTAACTGATGTAAAACTTTTCAAAACATTAAAGCTTGATGAAAAAACTATTTCCTATACAACATTTGATGCGACACGAGTTTCTCTACACAACAGTATAGGCTACCTATCAAATGAAAGGTAGTCATCGTAGCCGACAAGACTGTTTTTGAATTTTATTATTTACTTTTATTTTAGGGTTTTGTGTCATGTACATTGAATGCAAAATATGTTGGTTTGATTTTAATTGCATATGGTATTTGTGATTCTATAGGTAGTTTTTGTTTTGGTCAATTAGTAAAATTTGTTGGTCGTTGGCCATGTTTTGTTATTGCTGCTATGATAAATTATTCTTTAATAATAACAATGTTTATTTGGAAACCAACAGATAGTCAAATAGTTGTTTTATTTGTTTTAGCTGGTCTATGGGGTGCAGCTGATGCTGTATGGCAAACACAAATAAATTCATTTTATGGTGTTTTATTTACTGATAAAGATGAAGCTGCGTTTTCAAATTATCGTCTTTGGGAATCAAGTGGTTTTGTATTATTTTACATAATAACACCATATATTCGTATAAGAATAGGATTAATTATTTTATTAATATTTTTAACATTAGGTATGACTGGTTATGGTGCAACGGAATATCTACTAATAAAGAAAAAAATGAAGGTGGCTGATGAACCCCGCCCTAATTAATAAAAAAAAAATTCTATTCCCCTCTTTCTTTTTTTCTTGCCGATTAAAATAAATAAAAGTTGAGTATAATTTTTTAGAAAGAAAAATCAATTTTATCAAGGATTGATATAAGTCAATTGAAGGTTATGTTGCAAGTAACTTATATTAGATATTAGAAATTTCATGAAGAAATTTGAATGTTTCAATTTGCAATATTTAAAAGAAATTCTATTTAGACCAATAAGAAACATTTCTGCCGACATGCAGATTGTGCATAGAAAAAGAAAAAAAAATAGTAAAACAGACGATTCGAAGAAATTCTCATAGAGAAAGTAAGAGAAAAGAGAACGGACAAAGTATCTTATGTTTGATGATAGTTTTTAAATATTGTATTTCTGACGATAAAGAAACTGGTGTCATAATTTAGAGTCTGCATCGGATTTCAAAAACTCATTCTGTCAAAATTCGAATGGAAGCATCAGAAAGATATTCTTATTAACCCTTTAGGGATGAAGTCCGTATACATAGATGGCGGAAAGTTTTTGTTCTAGGATAGGCTCAATGTTCTTTTTATTAGATATTCATCTGGAAGTTAAAAATGAGAGAAGACGAATTTTTGAATGCGGCTTAGATGAAAAACAGTTACTCTCTCTTTTATCCAAATTCACATTGTCTAACGTGTAACAGTGGTGCAGATCAGACAAAAAATTGCAACATGTGTTAAAAAGACGTGCATTTGCAGAAATATGCAAACGTTCATATTCATTGACATACGGTCTTAAAAAGAAAAGATTTTGATCTGCTTTATCAGAAAAAAAAGTTTATCGACGAATCAGAAGTGTTTGGCAAAAAAATATATTGTATTGTGACCTTGTACATTGTTGAAAATGTTTAATAGTAAAGTTGGGACTTTTATTATGGATTTTATTCCTGTATACATGTCACACATATAGATGTTATGGAATAGCCTAGGTGTAGCATGCATATGTTTAGCTCAGAGTAGTTCGTTTTGTTTTTCATTGCATATTTACTTTATAAATTCAATATCGGAAAGAAATTTAAATTTGTCGATTATCATTTACAATTTATTCATGAAATCTTAGAAACTTATAGTACTCCAAAATCTACAATAGTTTGTCCCGTATTGACTTATAAAACCAACTAGACTTACTGCTAGACACTTTTCCTTTCTTGTATCTCAAGCCACAAATAGAAAAGCTCCTTAGAAAATTTGTGCTGTCGGTGAATATATTAGTCAAAGATCTAGATAGAGAATTCATTTATGCTATATGTATAAATATTGTAATGTAGGTCTTTGTATTGTTGGTTGTTTCGAGGAACTTCACACTTTATATTACATTTTTTTTTTTTTACATTACCTTTCCTCTTCATATGTGATTGAATTGTTGTTTGTTATATATCTTGGATGTTCGTTTTGTTTCTATTGTTCAAAAATAAACATCATTCATATTTTGCATTAAGTCCAGATGAAACAATTATAATTAAGAACTCATATCCATAGATTCAATTTTTGCTTCAGTGTGATATTATAAAAATATATCTTAACACTATAAAATATAAATTTGTTTTACTGATAGAAACATGACTTTTGATATGTCAGGTGAATTGAATAATCTGTTCAATATTAATATAATCCGAAAAGAATTGAACTGATTAATCCAAAAATTAATTGTTCTGTTGAATTCACTTAACAGCAGACAAACAACAGAATACTTAACTTTACCTTTAGTTCAATATTCTTACAATATACGTATGTTTTTTTTAATCTATTAATTGAATTTCATCATCAATGTCTCCCCTGTATATTACTTGAGTTTTACTTTTATTCTATTCAATGTTGAATCTACTAAAATGTGATCCTATGCCTAGTATGAAAGTCACATTTACGTTTAATCGGATTCTTTCTTTCTTCTTTGTTTAATAAACACATACCACGTTCGATCCATCCTTCTTCATCGTTCTATTGAACATCCGTCTCGTTCATATATATATATATGCAAGGTTCGCACGTACATACACATACTTATCAATAGATTATTGTGACAGCTACGTCTGTCAGTGTCACCACTATCACATCGAATAATACAAAATTGAAGCTCATTCTTTTTGACAACGACATGCCATCTCAAAGTGTCTATTCAATAGAATTACCTTATTTTGGTGCAATATTATTAGGAAAATCACCATTAAATTTAAAATCATTTCAAAAACCATTGCGTGAATTATATATTTCATATTATCAAGAACAATTTCATGATCAACGTCGTATTATTATATCGGATTGTGATATATTAATATTTGAACCTAATGCAGCAATAAAAGGTAAACATACCTTTATCTATTCAAGTTTTGAATCAATTGTTGATATACAAATATTAAAATTATATATTATGGTCAATAATACAGAAAATCAGCAACATAAACATATACAAGCAGCGTTTTTACCAATCGGTAAGTTTCAATACGACAGTATTATTTATTAAAAAAAAAACGAGTGACTAACAACATCAAGATGTATCAATAAAGGTTAGATTAATGAATTCGTTATAAATAAATTATAAGAATCATTTACTCACAAAATATCGAAATAAATATGATTTGAACTATTTCAAAAAATTAGTTTGGGATTTACGCTTTCGAAAATTTCACAACTCTATTATAAACTATTTACACTAATGTAAAATATGTTACATTGCGCAGTAAAGTGTACGACATGTAGTTCGAATTAATCTTCTGTATGACTATTATTTATTCTATAGAAGTGAATAATTACGACTCGTTTTGTTGAATTCTCATTAATAAGATTTATTCTTGAAATGCAAAACGATGAGATCTTAAAATCTAGTCATGTCGAGACGATTTGATGTTGATTGAACAGCGTCCAGTCAAACAAGTCTCGATCATTAATTTATCTTTCAACATATTCTTAAACTATGAGTAATTGCGAAATAATCTATAAGAAAAAAAAAGACATCCGAACTCCGCGACACATTCTTAATTTAGACTTATTGACACGACCACTTGTGATAGATTTTCTTTTCTTGTATTAAACATTTCATTGATCGCTCTATTATATCGGATTCGAGCTTTAGCATACTTTCATAAAAATAACACGTTCTTTCTATATGTAGATATGTCTAGATTAACGTTTTCTTAGTTGTTATACAATAAGCGTCACCAATGAATTCAAGGAAATCTTGCTAAATTCTTTTCGTTTGTAATAAAAAAAAACAAGAGTTGCATGATGTTTTATATTGTAATATCATTGATTAGAAAAATCTTATTTTTGTGAATCGAAAGAGTAAATTTGATCGACTGATTAATTATATTCATTAAATTTACTATTTGTTCACGATTATTTATCAATTGTTATTCTTACATAATTCATTTAATGATGATGTTGTTTTTTTCTTCTTCTTCTTCTTCTTCAAAAAAAAAAAGAAAACATTCGTAAAGCTTTATGTAAATATCATTCGTTTGTTTATTTTAATTTACTAAAAGAAATTTTTTATTCCATAGGTTCTGAACATCAACAATGTTTTCGTTCATTTTATTCAATAATCAATAAATCACAATACAATCTTCTTTCAACATTAACATCATATCATCCATCACTTCTATTATTTTTCATACGAAAACCAGGTGTTGGTAATTCGTGTTCTCTTATTGATTGTCACGTATTTGAAATACATCCTGAATCGAAAGCATTTGATTTGTGTAATATGATACGTAAATTAATAATTAAACGAACAATGAGCCCAATGTTATCAAATAGGACAACATTAATACGTACAAAAAATAATGACAAAGAAGTCAAAATAGAAAAACGAACTAAATACCTTGAACCTGATCGACTTATGTCAACAATGGAGTATCACCAAACTGATAATCAAACAATAACAGAAGAACAAGTAAATTCAACTGAGTTTTCTACAAATAGATTTTTTTTTCTTTGTTTTTTTTGTTTGTTAGAACAATCATATATTATCAAATGTCGATTCAAATGATGTTGTCCATTTGACAACAAATACTCCTCGTAATCCTTTATCGTCATTTTCGTTACTAATAAATAATGTTCAACATCCTCCTCCTTTTCATGACACATCTAAAGTATTAACAATGAATAGAGACATTTATCGTATGTCATCACCATGTTCAACATCAAAACAACGTCATTTTATACAAGCATCATCACTAATACAAGATGAATCTGATGAAATAGTTCATGATTTATTAAATATAGTTGCTATTGAACAAATTAAAAGTCAAGTATCTATTAAACGTCAAGCATCATTTGATCAAACATCCTATTCAGATGATAATAAAATGAATAAAAAACGTTATTTTCATAATAAAAAACGTTTATTAAAATCTATACCAACAATAAATAATATTACACATCAACAAAAATTCAATTCAATTATTGATGGTCATTTATTACGACCACAATTTGTACTTAATCATTATGGTGATATTGGTAATTATGTACCAAAATTTTTACGTGAAAATATCACAATGCGTTCATCAGATAGTAATGAAAATATTTTTTTTCGTTCAACAAATGGACAATTATTAAATGGTTTTCTTAAATTAGATTTTTTATCAACAAAATCAATTAATGGATATAATAATAATAATAATAATATTAATAATAATCGTTATCAATCAACACCATATTTAAATCCAGATCAAAATATTTATTCACTTGTACAACAATTACGAAATGATCAAACGTAAGAAAATTATTCATTTAAAAAATAAAAAGAACTTTTTATCTTTTTTAATAGAAAATCTTTTATTAATATTCATCAAGTTAATTCAAATATATCAAATCGAATGTTTGATATGAAAACAAATTCAACTGATGATGATCATCGAGTTCCTTATATATTAAAATCAATAGAAGATGTTAAACATGGTAATAAAGTATATCCATTTACATCGAATTCTTATCTTCATCAACATCCTTCTAAATTAAATATGTCATCATCTTCATCAAAACCAAAACGCGTTACATCATTTACAAATGGTGATACAGAATTACCAGTTGATTATCGACAATATTTACGTCATACAGATCAAGGTGCTTATCTTTATGGTGAAGAACAACGTCAACAACAACAACAAACAACACTTGAACATTCGCTTGGATATTTTCCATAATACATTTTTCTCTTTTTGTTAATCATAAATTTAAAAAAAGAAAGTGAAACTTGATTGAAATTTTATATGAACATGAGAACGATAATGTGCACTGATAAGATAAGCACAAATAGTTTCGTAATCATACATTGAAAGGTCATAATAGACTAGATGAATACTTCAAAGTTTCTCTCTTGACAGATGACTTCCATTCATATATATACGTATATCCGTAAAAAAAGATTTTTTTTCTATCTATAATTAGTCTTTTGATTATGTGTTCAACTTAAAAAACAAGTTTTATGCTTAATATGTGCTTTTTATTTCTGTTGTTTTATTAATAGAATAGAAAAAGCACTGAATGTGTATGTTTTACCTAATAAGTACGAGAGACATAGGACAATAGAAAATAACGACAACAAATCGTTTGCCTACACATACAAAAAGAAAACAAACTTAGCGAAAACGAAATTAAACTATTATTCCAATTTCGCAAGAATATCGGCTTCTTTGAAGATGAAATATTCTTTATCATGTATTTCCACTTTTGTACCACCATATTCTGGTAATAGAACCTTGTCACCAGTTTGAACACTCATGGGCACATGAGTACCATCCTAAAAGAACAATAACAAACGAAAAACATTAGAAAAAACCCACAAACTTAGAAAAAAATTCAGATTTACCTTTTGTTTAAGACCTTTTCCAACAGCGACCACAGTTGCATTAAGAACTTTACCTAAAGCTTTTTCTGGTATATGAATTCCACCTTTAGTTTTAGTTTCAGCTGCAAATCGTTCAACAAGTACACGGTCAAATAATGGAATAATACGTTTCAATGCTGAAGATGCCTAAGAAAAATAATATTATTTTTGTTTATTTTTAATTAAAAAATGTGTCGTATTTTTTTAATCTAACTTACCATCTTAACAAATTACTTCAATGACCTATTAGAATATTCGAGAATATTTTTTATGATAGATTTTAGGTCGTTTTCTCATTCGTTTCTGTTTTTTTTTGATTGGAAGATGTTTTTGATCCATTCATATGAAGGAGGTCAATCAACTACAACACGGAGGAGAGAAAAAAAAATGAAAATTTCTCTATTCTGAATTCCATCTCTTTGCTTTTTTTTTCATTTACTTTACACATTTCATCGATCATATTAAGAACATTACCATCATTAAACATGTATCGTTTTGCAAATGCATTCTCACGTACAACATCACCTTTGATTCAACATGTTGTACGACGTTCATTAGCTAAAGAAATTAAATTCGGTTCCGATGCTCGAGTACTTATGCTACAAGGTGTTGACATTCTTGCCGATGCTGTTGCTGTTACAATGGGCCCTAAAGTTTGTTTAATACTTTAAAAAATTTAAAAAATAAAATCTTTATATTTTTTCTAGGGACGTAATGTTATTCTCGAACAAAGTTGGGGTGCACCAAAAATTACCAAAGATGGTGTAACAGTTGCTAAAGGAATTGAACTTAAAGATAAATTTCAAAATATTGGTGCTAAACTTGTTCAAGATGTTGCAAATAATACGAATGAAGAAGCTGGTATGAATAATTACATCAAATTTTAATTAACAAAATAAAAAATTTTTTTTTTTTCCTTCTTATCTAGGTGATGGTACAACAGCTGCAACTATTCTTGCACGCGCTATTGCTAAAGAAGGTTTTGATAAAATATCTCGTGGTGCTAATCCAATTGAAGTTCGTCGCGGTATTATGCTTGCTGTATCAACTGTCATTAATGAACTTAAACGAATGTCTAAAACGGTAACAACACCTGAAGAAATTGCACAAGTTGCAACAATATCAGCTAATGGTGACGTATCTATTGGTGATATTATATCAAATGCTATGAAAAAAGTTGGTAAAGATGGTGTTATTACTGTTAAAGTAAGATCTATGATTTTTATGAGTAAAATACAAAATATTTTTGTTTTGTTTTGTAGGATGGTAAAACACTTATGGATGAACTTGAATTAATTGAAGGCATGAAATTCGATCGTGGTTACATTTCACCTTATTTTATTAATACAACAAAAGGTGCTAAATGTGAATTTCAAGATGCTTTTCTTTTATTAAGTGAAAAGAAAATTTCATCAGTACAAGAATTAATTCCAGCCTTAGAATTAGCTAATAGTCAACGTAAACCATTACTTATTATTGCTGAAGATATTGATGGTGAAGCACTTACAACACTTGTTATTAACAGGTATTTCGGGAAAAAAATTTTTTTTTCTATGTTTGGATTGAAACATTAGGTCGTTTAATTGATCGAGGAAAGTCAAAAATCGACAATAGTTTCAATTATATTTTAGAATTTTGTGTTGGAGGAAAATATTAAGTGGTGTTTCTTAGAGTTAGAGTCTAATGAACTTATACCAAAAAAATTGAAAACTTTCAAATCGATTTAACTTTTCAGAATTTCACCTGAATTCGAATGAAAAAAGATTTTTTCCTAATGGCTAATACAAATAGATTTGTTACTTGCATCTTGCATACAACCATGAGAATGACCAATATTTTATTTTTATATACTTCTACGGTCGTTATTGACTTTGACTAAAGTTTTAGTAAAGTATGCCTTTTTGGGACAAAAGAATAATTTTGCATTTTAACCAGAAGAAAAGTCTACTATTAGACACTGTTGGAGATTTTAATTAGAGACCTCCTTGTATAAATCAAAGAATAGAGATGTGTGCGACCGAAATTTCGAAGCTAAACGAGATCAAGACTAAGAGAAAAAAGTTGTCCAAATCGGAACTAAAGATTATAGTCAAATATTCTGTGATTTTCAGCGAATGATCGTATAAACCTTCAATTAAAACATAATTCAAAAGAGTCCTAATCGTCAGCGAAATAAATCAGAGAACGAACATTGAAAATTTTCTAAAGATGCTATACGAATGAAGTCTGAAATGGTTTCGCACATCTCTAATCAGGAAAAATTCAAAATATTGAACTATCTCTCTCAAGAAATATTTATAGTTAAAAAGCGAAATTATTTATGGAACTTTAATTTGATTTTTTTTTTAGACTAAAAGTTGGTCTTCAAGTTTGTGCTATTAAAGCACCAGGTTTTGGTGATAATCGTAAAAATACATTACGCGATATAGCTGTTGCTTGTGGTGGTACTGTATTTGGTGACGAAGCCAATTTAACTAAACTTGATGAAGTAACTGTTCAAGATTTTGGTCGTGTTGGTGAAGTTATTGTAACAAAAGATGATACATTATTAATGCGTGGTAAAGGTGATCCATCAGCAATTGAACAACGTGTAAATGCAATTAAAGATGAAATTTCTGAAACAAATTCTGAATATGAAAAAGAAAAATTACAAGAACGTCTAGCTAAATTATCAAATGGTATTGCTGTCTTAAAGGTTGGTGGTAGTAGTGAAGTTGAAGTGAATGAAAAAAAGGATCGTATTACTGATGCATTAAATGCAACACGTGCAGCTGTTGAAGAAGGTATTGTACCTGGTGGTGGTGTTGCTCTTTTACGTTGTCTTAAAGTATTGGACCAAGATGCTGGTGCACTTAATGCTGATCAAAAAACTGGTAAAACATATTCATAAATATATATATTTTATATTATTATCGCATGAATTTATTTAGGTATTGAAATAATCCGAAAAGCACTTCGTATGCCATGTGCAACAATTGCTAAGAATGCTGGTAAAGACGGCAGTATTATTGTAGAAAAAATACTTATGTCACCATTTGAAATTGGTTATGATGCACAACGTGATGAATTTGTTGATATGGTTAAAGCTGGTATTATTGATCCAACTAAAGTATGAAACAAAATATATTGATTTTGAACAAAAAACAAATATTTATTGTTTTTTCTTTTTTTTGTAGGTTGTTCGATCAGCTTTACAAGATGCTAGTGGTGTTGCTTCGTTATTAACAACAGCTGAAGCTGTTGTTGTTGATGCTCCTAAACCCGAAAAAGATGCTGCTGCAGCTGGCATGGGTGGAAGTACGTGTTTTTAAATAATGAAAATTCATATATTTATAATTGTTTTCTGTTTTATTTTAGTGGGTGGTGGCATGGGTGGAATGGGTGGTATGGGCTTTTAAAAGTGCCAATAAATGTATTAGAACAATTATATTATGTGTGTTTTTTTTTGTTTTTGTTTGTTTTGTTTTTCTATGTCGGCTGTTATGCATCTTCTAGGAAATATAAAATAAAACGATTCATACTAGTAATATAGTGATCTAGTGAGAAAATCAATGAGACAATTTGAATTTATCAATCTAGAGTATATTTTATCATCAACATATAGCTTATCTATCAATATAATGTAAAGGCAATAAAAGTTTGATCTCAATGATATGAATTTCTTAATCATATTTTTGAAGACCTTTCTTAGAGATCTCATTGTGACGATCGCTCATAAACTGAATCTTGAATAAAATACTTATAGTTGACCAAAAGTTACCACTGCCTGGACTGTCTAAGTTTTGAGCTCCTGAAACTCACAAAAGTGCAGCTTCACTCACAGAATTCACGAGACTCTTGGAAGGCTGTAAGTGTTGATGTAATGTAGGTTTCGGTTCTTACTACATCCACACCCCACAACAGTTGTTTAGAATTTGTGGATAACCAAAGTGCAAGGATACCAATGGCGTTAGAAGCATTAGAATTGGTTTATTACCTAAATTTCAACAAGTTCTTGAGTTATGTGATATCCATGAATTTAGAACTCACGGAATCCGAACACGTCTCACTAGAAGGGATTGTGGGATCTGAAGAAAATCGGACCGGGAAACTTTCAATTTCTTGTATATCTGTGGCTGACATTGCTCTGGGTTCTTTCTTGTTGTGATTCTAGATTATCTTTCTATATCTATATATAAGCACTTCCGAATGTAGCAATAAACAGCAAGATCCAAAAAAGCAAATAACGAAACGAACAATTGTTATTGACGATTTAGAAGCTTGTAAAACTAGACATGTATATCATCATAGTATGAAAAAAGATATTAGAGTTTTTTAATTTTCATAAAGATTATTTACCGAAAATGTTTCGACAACTTTCATCTGAAGTATATTCAAACATAAATGTGAACAATCCGAAGCTAATTATTAAGTTTTCTCAAGTTATTATTTAACAATATTCAATTTTTCTTGGCTATTACATCAATATCGTATTTTTTAAATGAAACAGCGAATACATCAAAAAATGAACTGAGCAAAAATTCTTCTAACTCATCTTTCTAATGACAAAATGATTGCGAATCTTTATGCAAAGATAGTATTTTTTGTAATAGGGTAAATCTAAAAACAATCGTGACTGAATAAATTTGCTAATTTTCGCTTGAAATGCTGGAGACTTAAAGTGTTTTCCGAGAATATCTCCGAAGTAAATTCAAGATTTTGCAGTTCATATTTTTGCTCATAAATAGAATGTTATTAAACTAGCACAATCTCGAAAGAATTCTACTTTTTTATTGAGATTTGACGAGAATATCATTGTTTTAAATAGGGATGTATCAATTTGAATTCGAATTCTTGATTTGGAATTGGAACTGGTTATGGGTGAAAAGTCACCAGTACACAGACGGTTAACGTATTTGTTACCAAATACCAGAATAATGTAAAATTTCTGGATTTGATTCTTTTGTCAAGAAAAGGTTGTTTTTGAAAAGTAGCGATTTCTTAGAAAGTTTGATCAGAGGTGTTTGGGGTAGAATTAACTTGATCGAGAGATAAAGTATACGCTGTATTCCTATTCCTAATCAGAGTTTTGTATTTTTCTTTCAATTTTTTTGTGAAATCGATCTAAAGAGAATGTCGAAGTGTATAGAATAGAAATTATCATCCACATCCCGAACGCGCTGTACATCAGCAGACGAACATGTTCCAAGTTATTTATTCGCAACATGTTCGTTTATTCTGAACGCGTTGTTGTTTCGTTCACCTCAATCTGAGCTGTACAATTTCGTTGTATGAAAGTATACATTGCATCTTTTTCTTGATTTTTCATTTTAAAACTGAATTACACTTTGTATGTCATTGTACGAAGTACTTCATGATGAGAAATATGAGTTATTTTTATTTTTAAAAAGAAAAGAAAACACACAATGAGACCTGACGCATTTTTCCTTTTTGTTTCTAAATCAAAGTTTTCTGTTGTAAGGAAGGAATAATATGATGTTGATTCTTCATGATCTTCAGTTCACCACCTTTACTGTTTTTGAAGGCTCTTTTACCAGTGAATTCTCTTCTGTTTTTGCCTCATAAAGACATGAAGAAAAACGTGCTGCCTGTTCAGATTCAGCAAAGCTCGTATCAATATCATTTAATTCATTTCTTTGAATAGTTTCATTTGTGTATCCAGTTAAATGTTGGATGAGAAGAGAATAACAACATCGTTCAATGGTCCAACACAATAATACATACATTCTGTTCGAACATTGTCTTGATCTTTAATCAGTCAAAGACTCTCGTTTGAACTCGAATCTAACATAAGATTATTCAATATTCTTTCAATTTGGTTCGATGGAATGAGAGAAGATTTAGAAAGATGAAGAAGAATTTTAGCTGTAACATATCGAACATTCATTGATTTCGATTTCAAATACGAGAATAACATATTTAGAACAGCTTTTTCATCTTTAATAGATTTAATACGTGTCAAGCATTTATAACAAGTATTTTGTACATGTGGATCATCACGTAAAGCTTCAATAAACATTTCACATAGTTCTATTGTTAATTCACCAAATATTGATAGAGTAGTTAGACAAGCAGCACGTTGTGGAAAATTATGTTGTTTACTAGTATAAAATAATGCACGTTTCAAGTTTTCTCTATCTTGCCAATCTTTTATATAAGCGCAAAATGCTGCAGGCATTCGTACTGCTATTAAGCCTGCAACTTCAACGTATTGAGGATATGCATAAGCTAAATAATAATTCATTGTTCTAACATGCACTATGCCATTCGTGAAATGACGAATGCTATTGTATAAATTCATTATAAAGAGATTGGTAACAAATTGGAATGTTCCTCAATGAACGCTGCTGCAGTGTCTGCACTACTTTGTCGAACATCATAAACATATATGTATGCTGTAGATTCGATCAGTGCATAATAACATTGAATATAGTCAGAATCAAGTAGTTCAAATAGTAATGAAGTGTTCTTTAAAACGCGACCGAGTCCTACATGTACTGCTCTCAAAATATTTGGTGAAGAATGTTTAAGTAAATTGCGAAACACACTCATATCATCGCGATCGAAACGAATATTGTTAATTGATACACAATGACAATAACTTGAAATCATTGAGCTAAGAGAATAATCAGATTGGTCAAATGTTGTATTTGCTAGGTTGTCCGCCACTATCTGAAGTTTGTCAAACAGAATTTTATATGTGTCTTTGTCACAAACACAGCCTAGAGCATACGCTACCATTCGACCAATTTCATTCTTTCTTGATGTTTCAAACAATATCGTCAATGTATCGATCATCAATGGTCGTACTACATCATTGTATTTAACGAGAGAAATTAAATACACAAGCACTGAAACAATAAATTGAGAATGGCTTTCCAAAACTTTATTCGATGTTGCATCACCATCAGTATCCACGAACGATGAAAAATTGGATGTGATTAGGCTACACATATAATGTATTAAATCATTCGACATTCTACTTATGCCATCACAGAAAGACACATCTATCGTAATATCAATTGAAAAAATACGAAGCTACATGAGAAATCGATGACAATTTTTGTTTGATTAAAGACAAATCTTTATTCGCCAATGCATGAATTCTGTACCTTTCCAGCCAAAGAATCGTTTCTAAATGAGATTGAATATCTACAGTTAGGTTGTCAAACATTCGGTATATAGTAAGACTGGCAAATGGTGAAGTGTGTTGATAATGAGCTTTTCTTATCACTAAAGCTTGTAAAACATCGATACCCAACTTTGAACTAGTTCGAATGTCGTCATTGCTTTGTGATCTCAAAATGATGTCAGCTCTCTGACGAAAGCGATCATTTTCATTACACAATAGATCACACA